TCAAACACCGACCAGTTAACAGTCTGCGGGCAGCAGTATTGTCTTCTGTACCCCCCATATCCGGGGCTATCATCAGCTCCTAAAGCCCTGCGAGCAGCTAAATTCAGTGCTGAAAGGAGGTGAGAAAGGATGAATGAAATGCCGGCAAAACCTGGAGTCCCTGCTGTTTGAGAGTGTGAAAATAAAGAAACAGCGACTTCAGTAATTTGAGAAACGTCACGTTCTTTTCTTATTACCCATGTTTAATTGAAAAATCTAAACTGATCCAATCAGAGGAAACACTGGATTTATTCGAGTAATTTGAAATACCGTTTTTTCCCTGCTTGAAGGTAAATGTTGAAAAAATACAGCTTACTGAGGTGTCCCTTAGTAAACCTATAAAACAAAGGTAAATGCACGTTTTGGATAATAATAACAAGCATAACAAACCGCAGTGTGACCCTGCAGAATGTTGCACTCTTTCTTGATTAATCACAGAAATGGGAAAATAAATTTAATGCCCACTTAATCTGATACTATTTCCTATAGTGGGGGAGGATTAAGGCCTTCTGTGACACTACTGAACACTACCAGAATGCTGAAAATATTTTTTTATAAACTAGTAATAGTAACCCCATAGCCAAGAACAGTTCAAAACCTCCCAGAGGCACTAGTGCTAAGATCTGGAGTTCTTTAGTCCCTTGATACTTGTATATAAATGGTTATTTGTGTCAAAATAGTCACATTTATTGGCAGCTTTCTGTCCACTTTCTGGGCTTGTATAGGAACTGTTGTAATGTTGATCTACCCCTGAAAGACTCGGTAATCCTTTTATTTCTTCCTACTTCATTGTGGCAGAAAGGAATTCTGAAATTCCTGGAAATATAAACAGAACGATTAGTATTTTTCATTATTTTCATTGTCATGATTGTATATTGATTTACTTAGAAACTGCAAAGTGTTTCGAGTTGTGATTCTACTCTCTCAAGCTCATCTTTCCTTCATGTGAGACATCACTGAGCCTTGGAGATAACCCCTACCCACTGTGAGAGACCAAGAAATGACAGATTGGTGGGGTGGATGCCCGTGGGAAATGAACCATTTTGAACTCCTACTCGGTGCAGACCAAAACAAAGGTGAGCATAAGGCAGGAAGGGCAGACCTGAGTGTTGGTGCAAGTCAGAGATCACTTGCCTGACTTTTTTCTTCAGCTGTGCTTTGCTTTTGGATATTCAAGCATAATGCCTTAGAATCATCCAAGTATTTGTACTGTAATCCAGTAAGTGGGTTTTAATTTCTCAGCCACTGTAGACTAAAATTTATTTTTTCAGCCCCTATAGAAAAACCCAAAAAAGGGAACATGTGCTCAACACAGCAGGTTGGTGCACTTGCATGTGCATACCAAGGAGGCTTCCCAAGGCTTTGATACTCCATCTTTTCTTCACATTGAAGTTGTGTTTGGGTATCATCACTCCATTCACCATCCCCATATTTTTAAAATCAGCAAATATGAATAGAAATATCAAAATATCTTAGTAAAATATTGTTGCTTTCTTTCCAGGGAATAAACATGTTCATGAATTAGCACAGGCCTGTACAGAGATTCTGCCCAGAATTTTTTTAGAAGGTTAATAGAGGAGAAAAGGGGAAAAAAAAAAGAGCCATTGCCAAGTGGGTTCATGTTCTGCATCAAAATCCTACACATGCTGTAAATTAATTACACTTTATGCATATTGCTTACAAAAATTGGACATCTACCCCTGCTCCTGTTCCAAAGACAAATAGGGTAGGTAGTAAGAAATTATTGCTTTTCTGTGCTTTAATGCCAGATTCAAAGCTGATGCCTAGCATGGGTGTTCTAATGTAAAATAAACAATGAATCTTTGCTACTCCTGCTTAAATAAGTGAAAGGCTGCCATTATTTTCCTCTGCACCCACTGACATTTATTTTTCTGAATGACTAGTAAAGTGAAAATGTCCTGTAACAAAAGTAGATTTAGTATTTTCATGGCCCCTTTCCTCAATGAACAGCACCCAAATTCTTCATCAAGTGTTGTGGCTTCCACAATGGTGAGGCTCCTGGCTTGGTTGTACAGTAATCTTATTTTATATATCTAATAATTTCTGGGTATAGGCCAAGGCTTAAGGTGAGATATGCACTTCAGAATGTTAAAAAAGTCTGTATTCCACATTTGAAAGACATATAAATTTTATTTCTTTTTTTTTATTTATTTCTTTTTTTTTTCCTTATGCAATAGAGCATGCCTCATTTTCAGGAAATGAAACAATTCTTAAAACACAGAAATGAAAATTCACACTATTCAAACACAGATGGAAACTGTACCGCTGTCTTTCAGTCTTTGTCCACTAATACCATTGACAGGAGAGAAATCCTCTTGCTCAGCATGCAGAAACACAAATGGACTGTAATTTTTTTTCCTTCTTAAGTGGAACATAAGGAGTTTCTGACACAGCATAAGACCTAAATCTGCTGCTGGAGCTGGCAAAAAAAAAGTGGATTGTGAGAAGGGACATTTTATGTTTAGTCAACAGTACAGATCTGGTAATAAGCATGGAATACAAAGAGCCACTTTCAGGTCAGATTCCCAAAGCTGAGTGCAGAATGCTGTGACCTAGAGTGGTTTTCTGGAAAGGATGTTAGAGTTTTCCAGAATTGTAGTAGCAGGACGTGAGTGAAGCCTTCTTGTCTACAACCAATGAACAGGAATTGCACTTTGGAAACTCCAGGTATGGCACAAGCAGATAAAGGTTTTATACAGTGTAGTGAGTGAAGTCAAGGATGATCGCAAAATTTCTGAACTGTGCGGATTTTTTTTCTTTCCCCTCATAGGGCAAAATCAGTTCATGGAGTTCCCCACGTCCATTGATACCAGGTAACTGAATTCCTGTTACTGTGTAGCAGACCAGACTCTGGGGGTTACTTTAGACCACTCCGGGTCTTTCTGCATTGAGTGGAATGTCTGCATGCCTGCTTCAAAGCTTATTAAGTCAATGTTGTAGTTTTAACAAAATACATCTTTTATTGTAACATTAAAACATGGGTTTTTTTCCCCTTTCAGTTTCTATTAAACTAACTTAAAATCTAAATTGTTTCTTCTAAAAAAAAAGATACTTAATTCCTCCTTCCTTTTTAATGTTTCTTTTATCTTAATACTGCTGCATTAAAATCTCTTTACTGAGCATTCACAAAAGAGGCAGATTTATTTTTAACCTAATGGTGTAAATTGCAGATGAATGAAGCAAAGCTTCCAAGAGAACTTTAATCTAGTCTTTGGCGCTTGGAATTTCGAGGAAACAACCAAAATTCAAGGAAAAGTGTGTCCCTGCTGTTTGCAGTTTTGTGAAGGTTTTGTCTGTTGCATATAAAAGGAGATTATCTGGTGGATTCTTCAGAATGCATTGTGGTAGATAAAAGAGAGGAATATAACCAGATGGCTCATAAGTGAGTGAAAATATTATTCAAAAAAGTGCTAAATAAAAATACAGTAATTGAGAAACCTTGGTTTCCAAGGCTCTGCATATCTGTAAACATCTGGAGGCATATAAAGCCCAGGGCAGCCATTTCACAGTGATTTCTGCTGTTTCCTGTGGCTGGAAGTCATTTTGAGATTCAGTTCACAGCTGACATACTCACATTCAGTGCTGGTCCTCACTAGTGAAATATAAAGAAGTCAAATTGTGTGTTTGTAACATAGAAATCAAAATATCTTCCACAAAAAATGATAGTTCCCTACTGATTTTGTGAAAGAAAAAAACAAACCAAGCCAAAACCAAATTAAGCAGAAAACCAAACACCACCACATCCCTCAAAAAACAACAATTCCCCCCCAAAAAACCCATCTAGGAAAACTTAAGTGGGAGAAATAAATTAAGAAAAACTGTTGGAAATTCTTTCAGAATTTTTATGATTAATTAACACAATACTTGCCATGGTTAGCCAGTGCTTTTATACATTATTAAGCTATTCATTATTTTCTAGTATTTATATATATATATATTTACATGAAGTAGTGCTTAAAAGGGTTCCATAGTATATGTAGGCCCAAAATACATCTCTAAAAGAGGAGAAAGACTAATGAAGTGGACATACACTTTTCTGGCAATTATTTTCACTGCAAGCTGTACTTGGTTAAGTTTATTTATAAAGTACTGTCACATAAGTTCCTAGTACACAGTACACAGCATAAGAACAACAAGAGATTAAGAGGATTTAGTGCTACTCACTAAAGGAAATAAAAGAAAATTAAACTAGAAGTTCTGCACCCAGTCTTGGAAAAAATTATTACGCCCAAAAGGTGCGTTATTTATACCCAAATTAGACAGGTAAAAAAAAATATGTTGTGCAGTAGGTAAAACAACACAGTAAGGTAGAAAATATGTGTTGTAAATCTGAAAGAGCAACAAGAATAGGAAGAAAAAAATACGTTTCTGTTAAGTCATCAGGTAGAAAAACTGATGTGGCAAAGTTAGAAAAAAATTACATGCTGTGCAGCAGGAGAGAAGAGAGCAAAGTTCGGGAAAAAGGCTCCCAATGCTTTTTGCTTTTCGGGAGCCCGGCACCGGGAGAGCGGAACGCACGCACACGCTGAGGGCTCGCGGAGACGGCGGGGGCACCCGAGCCCCGGAGCAAGAGTGCAGAGCCTCCAGCCATCCCGGGAACCTGAGTCGTGACACAGCGAGCCCGGACCGACAGCACCGCGGGGACCTGCTGGAAATACAGACACAGCTCTGGGGCCGCCACTGCCCGGAGGGGACGAAGCCGAAAAAAGGCGCCCGGGGGAGCCGAGGGGCTGGGGAGGGCGAGCGGGGCGGGGCAGGCGGGCAGAGCGGGAGGCGGGGAAAGCGGCCGGGCCCGGGGCGGAGCCGAAGGGGCGGAGGCGGAGCCCGGGCCCCGCCCGCCGGGCCCGCCCCTGCTCCCAACCAGGTCGGACCGAACCCCATAAAGGCGCGGAGCGGGCGGCGCTGGCTCACACTGGCAGTGTCGGTAGCGGCAGCAGCGAGTGCGTGACCATGTCTGGCCGGGGTAAGGGCGGTAAGGGGCTCGGCAAGGGCGGCGCCAAGCGCCACCGCAAGGTGCTGCGCGACAACATCCAGGGCATCACCAAGCCGGCCATCCGCCGCCTGGCTCGGCGCGGCGGCGTCAAGCGCATCTCGGGGCTGATCTACGAGGAGACGCGCGGCGTGCTCAAGGTCTTCCTGGAGAACGTGATCCGCGACGCCGTCACCTACACGGAGCACGCCAAGAGGAAGACGGTCACGGCCATGGACGTGGTCTACGCCCTCAAGCGCCAGGGTCGCACTCTCTACGGCTTCGGCGGCTAAATCCTCGCTTACTTGCCGGACCGCCACCACAAAAACCCCAAAGGCTCTTTTAAGAGCCACCTACCTATTCCTTGAAAAGAGCTGTATCGCTGTATTTTGACATTCGTTTAGCGCTGTATTTGTAGCTTGATTTCTTCCCTTTCACACAGTACCCTTCTTCCTTCTCTCTCCATCCCACATCGGGTAAGTCGGGCTGCTGTTCAAGGGCCTTTGATAGAGAAAAAACCACAAAACCCACCGAGGACAAAAAAAAATTAATTACCCTAAGTTCTGCACAACAAAGTGCCGCAGCATGCTTTACTTATTCCTCCTCGCCCGTAACCCAAAGGCAGCAGGAGAACCAACTACGGCGCCCACAGTAGTGAGCCTCTGGAGGAGTTTCTCCGCTCTCCCGCCCGCGGGAGCCCCGGGCCGTGTCCAGGGCGGGTCTGGCGCCCGCGCCATTTCCTAAAGCCCGCGCGGGACGCGATTGGCTCCGGGACAACGGCTCCCTGCGCGGCGCGAACAGAGATCCCACCGATCCCATTCGTACCAACAATGAACACACAACCTCGCCTGAACCGGCCTGGGTTAAATACAGCGAGCACACGCCAAACCACACACACACGCAAACTTTAGACGCGCAGCCGGCCAATTCTTTCCCTTCCCCGCGGCACCCGGGCCGCAGCATTTCAAGCTCTTTCTCGAGACTGTGGGTGGCTCTGAAAAGAGCCTTTGGGGTTTCCTTCTGGGCTCCGGACGCTTCCGCCGCCCGCTTTACTTGCTCTTGGCTTTGTGACTCTCCGTCTTCTTGGGCAGCAGCACGGCCTGGATGTTGGGCAGCACGCCGCCCTGCGCGATCGTCACCTTGCCCAGCAGCTTGTTGAGCTCCTCGTCGTTGCGGATGGCGAGCTGCAGGTGGCGGGGGATGATGCGCGTCTTCTTGTTGTCGCGGGCCGCGTTGCCCGCCAGCTCCAGGATCTCGGCCGTCAGGTACTCCAGCACGGCCGCCAGGTACACCGGCGCGCCGGCACCCACGCGCTCCGCGTAGTTGCCCTTGCGCAGCAGCCGGTGCACGCGGCCCACGGGGAACTGCAGCCCGGCCCGCGACGAGCGCGACTTGGCCTTGGCCCGCGCCTTGCCGCCCTGCTTCCCGCGCCCGGACATCTTCCCGCACTCCTCGCTCGCTCCGCACACAAAGTCCCGGCGACACCGACACGCAGCGACACCGACAGCGCCGCCCTCAGCCCTCCGCCTTTATATCCCCTCCCTGCGCGCGACCGCCGCCTCCTGATAGGCCGAGCCCTCCTCTCGGGGCACGCGCTGCCCAATGGCGCAGCGAATCTCACGCTGACCAATCGCGACGGCCGCAGCGCCCAGAGGCTCCGCCCGCGCCCTCCGTCCGACCAATGACGAGCCGCGGAGGGCGGGCCTCGGCTCGCGGCCCCTCCCACGGGAACCGCCGCTCCCGCCCGGACCGGCGGGGCCGCGCTGCCCCGTCCCGCGCCGTGATCGCTCTCTGCCCTGTGCTAGGGTTCTTCTAAAGCCGCCGGGCTGCACTGTGCCGGTTGGAGGTGCCGGGTCGAGGACAGAAGGAGGAAAAAAGACAGTGGGGCGGTGTCTCTCGTGAAGGGGAAAGGAGAGACGCAGGGGACCACGCACGCTCTCAGAGGGCAGTGAATTTCCCCTTGTTCTACGGTGGGTTTTTTCCCCGCGGTTTCGGACGATTTTAACACCGTTTCGATCCTTATTTCGAGCTTATAAAACCTCATACGCTTCTCCGCATCTGAAAATAACTCTCTCCTCTGTATCCCGAAATTGAAATATATAAAGTGCAATACAACACTACCTCTGCTCTCTCCACAATTGTTCAAGTTGTATCCATAATTGCATAAGGTGGGTTTTGGTAAGCGCCCGTATGACCGTAATGCAACACTTTGTGTAACAGCTCCTTTTACTGTGTTTGTGGTGGCTCTTAAAAGAGCCTTTGTGTTGATTTAGATACTTTAAGTACAGATAGTAAAGTTCTGACAAGGCTTACGCGCGCTCTCCGCGGATGCGGCGGGCCAGCTGGATGTCCTTGGGCATGATGGTGACGCGCTTGGCGTGGATGGCGCACAGGTTGGTGTCCTCGAAGAGCCCCACCAGGTAGGCCTCGCTGGCCTCCTGCAGCGCCATGACGGCCGAGCTCTGGAAGCGCAGGTCGGTCTTGAAGTCCTGCGCGATCTCGCGCACCAGCCGCTGGAAGGGCAGCTTGCGGATCAGCAGCTCCGTGGACTTCTGGTAGCGCCGGATCTCGCGCAGCGCCACCGTGCCGGGCCGGTAGCGGTGCGGCTTCTTGACGCCGCCCGTGGCCGGCGCGCTCTTGCGGGCAGCCTTGGTGGCCAGCTGCTTGCGGGGCGCCTTGCCGCCCGTCGACTTCCGCGCCGTCTGCTTCGTGCGCGCCATAACTCCCGCTACCAGCGACCAAGTGCCGAGTAACAGCTACAATGAACGGCTGCCTGTGTTTGGGGAGTATTTATAGCACTGGTGCCTTCTCTGATAGGCAGGCGGGTGAATGCTACATTTGATTGGTTGATTCAAATTTTAAAATTCCCGCCCTTAGCCGATACCGCCTACCCTTTACAGACTCTATTCCTACTGAATACTCAGTGTTCTTGTAAAAAGCTGTAATGTGTACTATTTCTGTTTCCGGATTTTTTAAGACTTGGTATTTTTATTAACTGACGAAATTTACCTTGAATATTAAACCACGGAAGCCTTAAAGCTTATATTTATATTATACAATTTTATAATTGCATCTTGCTTACTACTTCACTTTATCATCTCTAAGTGTGAAAGTTTCCCTTCTCTTTTCGTGGGTATATTTGTGCAGAGTTGACAAGGACAAAAATTCACTTGAAAGTACTTGTAGTTTTATTTACATACCTTAAGCTGTTACATGACTATGCAAAATTAAGTGGGTGAAAATAGTAGATGAAAATGTCTACATTAAAAAAAAAAATTAAAAGGATATTAAAGCAAGTCTTTTCAGCCCCAGAATAAAAAACAGAGCTTTCACTTCTTAATGGTAATAGACTGATATGTAAAATTTAACAAGCAGTTATGAACAAGAAGGCATGGCTAGGAATCAAGGCTTGTAAAGGAAGGTTTACATTCATTTTAGGTTTTAAGTTTAGGTTTAAGTTTAGAGCCTCTTTAAACTCGGTCCCGCTAAAAATGTAGGAGGGCATTGCTCCCTTTTCAGTGCGTGCGTGTCCCCTGCGTCCCTCTTTTCCTCTTTCTGTCCTCGACCCGGCACCTCCAACCGGCACAGTGCAGCCCGGCGGCTTTAGAAGAACCCTAGCACAGGGCAGAGAGCGATCACGGCGCGGGACGGGGCAGCGCGGCCCCGCCGGTCCGGGCGGGAGCGGCGGTTCCCGTGGGAGGGGCCGCGAGCCGAGGCCCGCCCTCCGCGGCTCGTCATTGGTCGGACGGAGGGCGCGGGCGGAGCCTCTGGGCGCTGCGGCCGTCGCGATTGGTCAGCGTGAGATTCGCTGCGCCATTGGGCAGCGCGTGCCCCGAGAGGAGGGCTCGGCCTATCAGGAGGCGGCGGTCGCGCGCAGGGAGGGGATATAAAGGCGGAGGGCTGAGGGCGGCGCTGTCGGTGTCGCTGCGTGTCGGTGTCGCCGGGACTTTGTGTGCGGAGCGAGCGAGGAGTGCGGGAAGATGTCCGGGCGCGGGAAGCAGGGCGGCAAGGCGCGGGCCAAGGCCAAGTCGCGCTCGTCGCGGGCCGGGCTGCAGTTCCCCGTGGGCCGCGTGCACCGGCTGCTGCGCAAGGGCAACTACGCGGAGCGCGTGGGTGCCGGCGCGCCGGTGTACCTGGCGGCCGTGCTGGAGTACCTGACGGCCGAGATCCTGGAGCTGGCGGGCAACGCGGCCCGCGACAACAAGAAGACGCGCATCATCCCCCGCCACCTGCAGCTCGCCATCCGCAACGACGAGGAGCTCAACAAGCTGCTGGGCAAGGTGACGATCGCGCAGGGCGGCGTGCTGCCCAACATCCAGGCCGTGCTGCTGCCCAAGAAGACGGAGAGTCACAAAGCCAAGAGCAAGTAAAGCGGGCGGCGGAAGCGTCCGGAGCCCAGAAGGAAACCCCAAAGGCTCTTTTCAGAGCCACCCACAGTCTCGAGAAAGAGCTTGAAATGCTGCGGCCCGGGTGCCGCGGGGAAGGGAAAGAATTGGCCGGCTGCGCGTCTAAAGTTTGCGTGTGTGTGTGGTTTGGCGTGTGCTCGCTGTATTTAACCCAGGCCGGTTCAGGCGAGGTTGTGTGTTCATTGTTGGTACGAATGGGATCGGTGGGATCTCTGTTCGCGCCGCGCAGGGAGCCGTTGTCCCGGAGCCAATCGCGTCCCGCGCGGGCTTTAGGAAATGGCGCGGGCGCCAGACCCGCCCTGGACACGGCCCGGGGCTCCCGCGGGCGGGAGAGCGGAGAAACTCCTCCAGAGGCTCACTACTGTGGGCGCCGTAGTTGGTTCTCCTGCTGCCTTTGGGTTACGGGCGAGGAGGAATAAGTAAAGCATGCTGCGGCACTTTGTTGTGCAGAACTTAGGGTAATTAATTTTTTTTTGTCCTCGGTGGGTTTTGTGGTTTTTTCTCTATCAAAGGCCCTTGAACAGCAGCCCGACTTACCCGATGTGGGATGGAGAGAGAAGGAAGAAGGGTACTGTGTGAAAGGGAAGAAATCAAGCTACAAATACAGCGCTAAACGAATGTCAAAATACAGCGATACAGCTCTTTTCAAGGAATAGGTAGGTGGCTCTTAAAAGAGCCTTTGGGGTTTTTGTGGTGGCGGTCCGGCAAGTAAGCGAGGATTTAGCCGCCGAAGCCGTAGAGAGTGCGACCCTGGCGCTTGAGGGCGTAGACCACGTCCATGGCCGTGACCGTCTTCCTCTTGGCGTGCTCCGTGTAGGTGACGGCGTCGCGGATCACGTTCTCCAGGAAGACCTTGAGCACGCCGCGCGTCTCCTCGTAGATCAGCCCCGAGATGCGCTTGACGCCGCCGCGCCGAGCCAGGCGGCGGATGGCCGGCTTGGTGATGCCCTGGATGTTGTCGCGCAGCACCTTGCGGTGGCGCTTGGCGCCGCCCTTGCCGAGCCCCTTACCGCCCTTACCCCGGCCAGACATGGTCACGCACTCGCTGCTGCCGCTACCGACACTGCCAGTGTGAGCCAGCGCCGCCCGCTCCGCGCCTTTATGGGGTTCGGTCCGACCTGGTTGGGAGCAGGGGCGGGCCCGGCGGGCGGGGCCCGGGCTCCGCCTCCGCCCCTTCGGCTCCGCCCCGGGCCCGGCCGCTTTCCCCGCCTCCCGCTCTGCCCGCCTGCCCCGCCCCGCTCGCCCTCCCCAGCCCCTCGGCTCCCCCGGGCCCCTTTTCCCTGGTTTCCCCCCTCCAGGCATGCCGAGAACGCAGAAGCTCGGTTTTTTCCCAGGCGCAGGGACGTGGCGGTCTTTCGGCCGCCGCACACCGTTTTTATGGCCCTGCTGTGACCTCATCTTCTCACTGCTGGGGTTCCATTCAGGCATTCGATATACTGATAAACGTAAGAACTCTTCGGTCAGTTTCAGGAGCTTAGTTTAGTATTTGTCCTCTAAACCATGAACCATGAGGGAAATCATGCCTAAGTTTTCACGTTAGACAAGAAGTAAACGTTTTTTTTCCTCAAAGTTGCTTATGTCTGACTCTCAGGGTATTGTATCAGTGGTGAATCTGCACAGGACTTTTTCAGGAATGAACTGAACCCCCTTTATTTTCTATCCTAGTGTCTCCAGTGTTTCCTTGCCATTCACCCTTTATTTTCTCTCTTTATTGTTTTCTTCACATTACATTCCAAACATATTGGTGATATAAAAAATGCAATATATGTCCATTAGGTAATTAACTGGATTCAAATTATTAACATACGTCAAATGCACAACAAAAATTGCTGTGCCAGCTGTGTTCCTGTGTACCCCCATGTTTTCAAAGGCCTGGCACAATTCTGAGTGGGTACTCATTCATTCATGTAATATGTTTTCCTTTCAGAAGGGAATGTTGCAAATTACAACATTTTTCTTTGTTATTTTGGTATAACTTCATGACTCTGAAAATCAGTCATTATGACTTTTCAATCCATGCCTCATTTCTGTTAGCTATGCCTGCAGTCCTCCATTTGCAGTTCAGGACCCACATCATTCCAATATGGAGAATTTGCCTGAGCTCATCATGGCCAAATACACACATTATTACTCACACAGAGACAGAGGAAAGTCCTTGAAAGTGAAGGGCTTGGAAAGATCTCTGAACTCTGGCAACCCTTTTTCTCATTGACTCTGGCTTTTTTTTTTTTTTCTGCCTTAATCACAGTGAATCCAGCAGGGTAAAAAATTATCGGGCCTAAAAATATAATGGTGAAGTAATTCTTTCACAGCATCTTTCAGCTCAGTTATTTTCTATAAGAATGTCTCAGCCTGGCCCTGAAGACCTATGATTCCTTTTAATCTCTCCTTTTACATGAGTTGCCATTCTCTCTGTTTCACATGTATTATCTTCATCTTGGGGCTACAGGGAAGGGTATGCAGTTCACTCTCTTTGCTGGTAGGCATTTTGTTCATTTCATGCATGTTTTCCAGCAGCCTTTGATAACAGAGGCAGACACTGAGGACAGCTAACCACGTGTTAATGGAATTCTCCACAATGACAGGGATACAATCCATGTAATATACACGCCCATCACTTATCTGTCCATCAACCACTCCCACTCACCTGTTCCTCAACCTTTTGATTTGTAATGCTAAAGCAAATCCCAAAACAAGAAAAATGTTTTGTCTAGAGAAAGCAACTGCTATACACCAAGAAGAAAACTCCATTTGCTTTTCCCTAATTCACCTCTGTCTTAAGACATCCCCTCTGACTCAATGAGTCTCCAGCCTACAAAGCACTAAAATCTAAAGGACCACTTTGATGAGATTATCAGCTATTGCTCTTACCCTCTTTATTTACTAGCCTCTGTCACAGTTGGGATATTGGTCCAGAAAGAAGTTTCCTGTTAATTTCTCATTTCTTCAAGCATAATAATTATGTCTCCAGCATGCAATTCAAAGAGAGCAGAATCTCAAGGCTGCCCTGCTCACAACACCCATTAATTTCTCCCCACTCTTGGATCCCTGCTGATATTACTACTTTAAGAAACAAGTTCTACTACTGCAGTGTGTATTCTTCTGACCTCTCCCAGACTTACAGCTTTTGTGTTCCCAATACTAGCCTAACAGAGCTTGTGTGTCCCTCAAGTTTGAAGGGACCATAACCAGATAATCCTGCTACCCAAGGGGAAGGTAAAAAAAAAAAAAAAAACCAATCCAAAAGACCCAAACAAAACCACAAACTAAAGCTACGACTATTCACCATGTAGGGACAGTAAGCATATGTGGTAAAATGAAAATAATAAAACTCTAAACCCAAACAGACTTGAAGATTAAGAACCCATCTTTACTTTCATTAGTGTCAAATGCAAACAAAAATTCCTGTCTTCCTCCACTGGTGTAGCTGACAGTGATAACCCTTGAAAGCCTTTCTATGTACTCAAGCACGCCAAGGCCTAAAGAATTGATAAAACCAGAACAGATTGCAATTTTTCCTCCACTTTGTTTTTGGTTATATTTATTTTCTTTCTTCCTTTTTTTTTTTCCTAGCAAATTTTTTAATAAAAAGACCATGCCTTAGATTTGGCAATTAACATTGGAATTACTCAGAAGTTTACCTTACTGATACCAGGCCCCTTCCTCAACACCTTTGAGTAATTTCAGCTATTAAGTTTCCTTGCACATGTCTCACTGCAGTCTGAGCAAACCCAAGCCCCAGCAGGTTTCTCTTTACTCACCACTTCCATACACCCGCATGTCTGCTGCTCCCTGCTCCTGGCTGCTCTGTGCTGGCCTTCTGTGCAAGTTTTGCTAACCACACAATTAAATGAGAGATGTTACAAACTACTAACCTCAAACAGAACACAAAAGTTAAAGTTGTTACTCTATTCCCTATTTCAAAACCAAGTAAAAAAAAAAAGTCAACAAAATCTTGATGGCATTTTCAGTTCCAAAGCAAAAAAACCCCAAAAACCAAAAATTGACAGAAAGAACAAGATTTAGTTTTAATACAGTCATTATGGAAGCCAATCTTTTCTGGGACTAAGGTAATTTGCAGGCAAAACAGATGAAATATATTCTTCCTGAATGTGCCCAAACCATACATATAGTCTCACAAGCCTCTGAAGCCAGATTCCCAACTTCCTAACTGTAAGACAGCAGAGGTGACAAGTTGCTGACATCATTGATATATCAGGGGGAAATTCAGGCCCCAGCCAGCCCTTCCAGTGCCCCTGGCAATCTGCACAACACACTGACCTGAGATGGTGCTACTCTGGCACCAGACCACAGGCTGCAAAGCATGTACTGCAAAAACACGAACTACAGCACAACACTTACACAGTGAACAACCCTGCAAAACCTTTTTGTTCCCTTCTGTGGGAAAACAGCCTAAAAACCAGCGAGCTCCCTGATGCTAACTTGCAATACTCCTGTTCTAGAGAGATGGCACAAAGAGCCTTGTCTAGAGCCAGTACCTGCTTCACCTTCATACCTCTGGAGAATAACAGGAAGGCAGCGCCATTTAAGGAGAGCACCTTTGCATGGTGAGTTAGAGAGGGCTCTGGCTCTTAGCCTACATTGTGCCTGGGTGCCACTGTCAGTGCCTGTGAGGCAAAAAATGAGTTGCCTGCCAATCCAAATTTACCTGGAAGCGTGTCCCATCAGTGTCTGGGGTGTCAGCAGCCAGGAAGATGGCAGACTGCAGAACAGCAGTGCATGCATGATGTGTCCAGGACACTCGGTCCCTCCATAGGTTCCAAACACATTTCTGGCTGGAGTGGGAAGTGACATTTAGATTAATCACATTCCTCCCTCCCGTGCACCAGAAGTCACAGACAGCATTGTCACACAAGCAGGAAAGTGTGGAGGGCAGAAAATCCACAGAAGTGCTGCAGTGCTGCAGGGAGGAAGAGTGTGCAGCCCAGCATCCCTCAGTGTGAGCTGCTGACTATTCTGAGCAGCCAGGATTCCATGATATGGGGAGGCTGCTGTGGAAAGGCAGCATGGTGTCACCCTTCCTTGGGGGACTTCAGCACTAAATGCAGTCAAAGTGAAGCACTCTTCATTCAGGAGGAGACAATTTCCTTGGGGAGCCATAGCTGATGCAGCTGCTGTTAATGCTGTTCACCTCTCAGGAACAGTTTGTCTAAGGGCCTGAGGTGTCCTCAGTCTCCCATTAATGATGACATTCAAACCATGCCAAGGTGGTCCAGAACACAATTTTTCAAGTGGCTTGGATTAGTTTTAGAAGACCAAATTATTTAGATAGAAATAATTCTATTATTTGATATCTGACTGAGGACCTTTTTTTTTTCATTGTGTGTGAATAAAAGTAAATATGCCTTAAACTAATAAACAAAGAGTAAAGAACAAAGTCCATTTTTTTCATCATTATCTGTTCTCAGATAGATTTTGACCCCCTGCATTTTTTGCTGACTTTTTTTTTGTTTTGCTTTCCCAGGAAGGTTTTCCTTCCCAGTGCCTCCTAACTATGGACATATCCAGGTTTCAGACTATAGATTTTAACTTGCCAAATTACATGCCATGCAATGAAGAAGGGAGGACACCACAGGTGCCCCAACCCTTAACCACCAAGGGTACAGGGAGGAGTGTACAACATTCCAGGAAGATGAATCTGTGGGGACAGTCATCCCTTGCCCTACCCTATTTGTTCTGCTCCCTACAGGTGCTCACTCATACCCTGAGTTTAAAAAGCCTTATGTGACCTCAGTACACTTTAGGAGCTTTAACAGCAGTGGGAGCAGACACATTAGTATTATGTAGGCAGAGACTTGTTCTGCTGAGCTGCAACAAGTTTGTAGTTTGGTAGGTCTTGCTTTAAAATTCCTTAGCTAAGTGTTAAAAGTTGCTAAACTGTGCTGGCTGGTTGGATCACACAAGTGTTATTACATTTGAAACTCAGATGAAAGATGATGTCACTGAGGGCAAGTCAGGCATGGGTGTAACACTGTAATGGGAGTGTAATCATGGTTGCAGGCAGCATTTACACCTCTTTCCTGTGGAACATGTATGTGGGAATGCAGCACATCATGTGAAGGCCCTCACCTAAATCTCTCTGGAAATGGCCACCAGAGAGGGGCTCTGGTGTGTAAGAGCAGCTGTGCTTCCTTCAGCTGCTGGGGATGACTGAGCAGAGCCCTCAGCTGCAGCAGGCAGAGCAGCCCAGCAGCCACATTTGTGTGGCTGGCTCTCATGCTAATGCCTCCTCACAAAATTGCTTGGGAACAGCTACTGTGCTACCTCTCCTTAATGCAGACATACCTAAATATAACCCACAGCTTATTTTCGTAGGAACAAGTATTGGCAGGTCCTAAACTGCAGATGGGAACGTTTGATAGCTCTCAGGTGTGCTGCCAGCCCTTGGCTGTGCTTCCTGTGTCTCCTTGCTCATGCCAAGAGGTCTTAATGATAACTGCAAAAATTGGACAGATTTGGGTGTCTGAAGGGAAGCAATTTGCAGGGAGGGCTCAGGTTGCAGGTTTGTGATGCAGTGTGGCCTGCTGGGGTGCCCATAAGGTGAGAAGGATTTAAGTCATTCATATAAAATAGACCTTACAGTGGTGTCTTCAGAAGTATCTCTGGAGATCCTGATATTACTTTCCTTCTCTTACTGAATGATGAATTCTGCCTCACTCCAGTCTCACTGGGAAAACCAAACTGCATGTAGCAGTCTATGTAATGTCTTCCCAATGATATTTTTCCACAATATCCTATATCTAAAACAGGATTATTTCCCTTCTTCATTTGCTCAGCTAGAGATAAACCACTCAGCTAGAGATAAACCACTACCACTTCTGCCTTTTAGGTAATCTTTCACCATACTTTTCTTTTCCTGAGTACATTTGTTTATTCTTTTTTAACTATCTGGTCTGACTCCGGAGAAGCTCTTTTTAAAATTGCCAAATACAGCTTAACTTTCCAAAATATTGTTCTTGTATGTATTTCTTTCACATAAAGAAGAACATGTGCTCCAAGCAGCATTTCTGCATCAGTAAAGTAGGTTTATCTCTTTGCTTCAACACCATTTAAAAAATAGCTTCTTTTTTGTTTGTTTGGTTTTTTTTTTAATGAAATTTCTGAAGTTACTTCAGTTTAAATGACTAAAAAGTAGCTGAAGACCAGAAGCTGACACATATATACTTAGTAGGCTTTCTGGGATATGAGGAAAGGGTAGCAACTGCTGGGAGCAAAGCCAGGCAGAAAACTGGGATAGTGACCAATATAGGCACCTCAATTTTGCCACCAGCAAATGTGAATGAAGACTCTGTGAAGACATAAATGAGAGCTGGAATATTTACAATTCCTTCAGTGAAGATTACTGAAACAAATGTGTTCAAAGCACCGAGAATAAGCAAAAAGGAATTTTTCATTTTGCTGACATGTCACTCATGGCCTATGCTTTTCCTCTCTCTATATGCAATGAAGTCTCTAGGCAACTGCTAAATTTCATATCTTCCCAGCAATTGCTACCTTATTACATTATGCAGCCAAATCAATGGAAAGGTTAATTCATAATTTTACATATACAGAATAAAGGCTTCAAAATGTTTTACCTTCATTTGCAATTTCTGAAGGTTTCTTCATGTTACATAGTATTGCCAAACAAGACCTTGAAAATCACAATTTGATTAGCTCTTCTCTCAGTTAATTTCCTCTTAAAGCATTACAGAGCTCAGGTGCATTTTTACTGCAACCTTTTTTATGGTATTTTATCATTATGGGGTGGAGGTCACATTTTTCCCCTTCGTTGCATTTATTCATAATTTCACATTCCCTGAAACGCTATTTTACAGCAAGCTAAATCTCTCATCTTATACACATTTTAGTATTTATAAAACAGCCATTGTAAATAAAACCATGACACAGAAATAGAATTGCATTTTCCCAAAACTATCTACTCATACACTCTGAATTTCTGGTTGCTAATATGTACTTAAACACTGTATTCACATTCTATGTTATATCAAGTAATACCAAAGGGCTGGCTGTAGTGCAGTTTTTGTGATTCTTAAACAACTGCAAAAGACAATGGATAATACACTTTTTTCACAGTCAGTAACAGATTAATGAAACATTAAGCCAGAGCTCTGTTCTGCTCAGCATATTTCACCATCTTCCACCAGATACCAGTGTTGGTTGACTCCTTCCTGGTTCTTTAGGAATGACCTATGGCCTACCTCTCCCCTTGTTAAAACTCAGGTTATCACAAATTGCTCTAGTTTCTGTCATAAAAGTATTTCCTTATTTCAGTGATTGCTGTAAAATGAACAAGTAATAATTAGGTGGGTTTTATTTAGAGTGAGAAGGGGATTCAGCATTCAGAGGCTTTAGCTAAACCTTTGTGTAGCCATATTCTGAGAGACACATTAAAAATCCAAACAGCAATAAGGTTTACAATTCTACTACTTTTAGAGAAAATATAAAACAAGATAATATTCTTTGGGAATGAAGAGCATGCTTACTAAACTGCAATGATACTCCTTGCAAATCTTAAATTCCTAGAGACAAAGATAATTTCCATAAACAACAGAAGTGCAGGACATTGCTTTCTTTTACAAAACTGCAGTTTTGTAACATAAGGTTTTAAATTACTATATACTTCAAAATAATATGGAACATGACAGGCAAATAGATTGATTTAATTAATATTTGGTAGAAAAATTTGTAGCAAAAACAAACAAAAACACCCCACGTAGAGCAGCAGAGTAACTTTGCCTCCCTTGTACTGAAATCCCAGTAAGACAAAATAAACCAACTCTCTGTTCATCAGTCTCCAGATAACAAGAAATTGCTTATGTTTCTATAAAAAGTGGAATAGGTGGCTGTACGAGACACTATTTCACTAGACTTTAGCGTTTTAGTAGGTAAAACACATGGTCAAAGGAACCGGTTCTTAATCCATATTCAGAGCTGAAAAAGGAGTTTGTGTTACTTCCTCCTCTTCAAAATCAATTTAAACTGTCAAAATAGCTTCAAATCGTAAGCTTTCAACTTTAACCCCAAGAAAACCCTCTAAAGAATAAGACTGAGTCGTTGCCGTAACATTTATATCAAAAGGAAATTTTTAATTTGCAAGGAAAAACAAAAGTTTCTCCCTTCAGAGGTCTCTCCAGCAGCAGCACACGGGATTTATCGCCTCTCCTTTAACTCAAATCGCGTGTTTGCCGCAGGAAACTCTCCCGAACGCAAGTACCTGCTCTTCTCCCCCCTCACCGGGGAAACCGGCCGATTTGGTGGCAGAAATTCCGAGGAAAACACACTTTTGTTAGTCCAAAGAAACACAAATCGAGCACACCGAAGGGCTCCCCGGCCGTGCGGCGGGGCGGGCTCTGCAGCGCACCAATCACGGCGCGGCTCCGCTCTAAAAATACGAGCATCTGACCCGGGCCAGCCCAATTGTGTTCGCCCGCTCCGCCGAGGCAGCCGCCGCGATGTCCGAGACCGCTCCCAGCGCCGCCCCCGATGCGCCCGCTCCCGGCGCCAAGGCCGCCGCCAAGAAGCCGAAGAAGGCGGCGAGCGGCTCCAAAGCCCGCAAGCCCGCGGGGCCCAGCGTCACCGAGCTGATCACCAAGGCCGTGTCCGCCTCCAAGGAGCGCAAGGGGCTCTCGCTCGCCGCGCTCAAGAAGGCGCTGGCCGCCGGCGGCTACGATGTGGAGAAGAACAACAGCCGCATCAAGCTGGGGCTCAAGAGCCTCGTCAGCAAGGGCACCCTGGTGCAGACCAAGGGCACCGGCGCCTCCGGCTCCTTCCGCCTCAACAAGAAACCCGGGGAAGTGAAGGAAAAAGCCCCGAAGAAGAGAGCAGCTGCGGCCAAGCCCAAGAAGCCGGCGGCCAAGAAGCCCGCCAGCGCCGCCAAGAAGCCCAAGAAGGCGGCGGCGGTGAAGAAAAGCCCCAAGAAGGCCAAGAAGCCGGCGGCCGCCGCAGCCAAGAAAGCGGCTAAGAGCCCCAAGAAAGCCGCCAAGGCCGGGCGCCCCAAGAAGGCGGCCAAGAGCCCGGCTAAGGCAAAGGCCGTGAAGCCCAAAGCGGCCAAGCCCAAGGCAGCCAAACCCAAAGCGGCCAAGGCGAAGAAGGCGGCGCCCAAAAAGAAGTAAATTGTACCAGGAGAGTTTTGTTCTACATATTTTGTTATCCAACGGCTCTTTTAAGAGCCACCCACACTTTCCCTAAAGGAGCTGATGCACCGAGGTCGTCCGTAACCTGCAGCAGGGGTCCAGCAATTCGTAAGTCGTCAAGAGGTCAATTGTGTCTTGTGTTTTTTGTTTCCTAGGGTTTACCGAAAGAAATAGTTAAGAACGCGGTAGAGCGCGGCGACTTTAGGGAAGTGTAGACTTTTTGTTTTTTCCCCAAGTGATTACTTTGACTACCAAGAAGCAATGTTTTATAATGATTTGATAAAAGATCGGATGTACGTTTTTTTAAAGATATGTTTTGTAACAAAATAATGCAATTGCCAGGCACGCTACTACTGAGCCATGTCTAATCTAGTGAATTATTTCTTCTTAACTATCTCCGTAAATACTTTTGTCTGTTTGGGGGGTAAGAGGGGAGGGTTTCTTTACGGACACAAAACTAGCCCTGATCTCTCCCAATCCTTTTGTTCCTGATGAGAAAGAAAGCTTTAAGTATTGAAAAAGCCCGCCCTGCCCAAGGATTGGCCAGCGGAAATCCCGGCCGGCTGCCCTTCCCCCTCCCTTCCCCGAAGACGATTACGCCTCCTATCTCTGGAACTGCGTCAGCCGCTTTAAGAGGCGGAAAAGGGAGGTGGGACGGGAACTCTAAACGAATAGTGTCCGTATGTTCTGAGACGTAAGAACTAAACGGAAAATAGCCCGAACCAGGAAGAACTTGCACGGAGAGGAGGACGTTTTGGCAAGACTTTGTTATCACAAACATGGAAAACGTTGCTACTTTATCCAACCAAAAATAAAAAAAAAGTTAAAACAAGAATGGAGTAGTTAATGCAAAACGGCATTCATTGTTGTTGCGGTAACTCAGCTCTTTTAGGATCTTGTGGGTGGCTCTGAAAAGAGCCTTTGGGTTGTTAGTCAGATGAGATTTACTTGGCTTTCGCCTTGTGGCTGTCGGTCTTCTTGGGCAGCAGCACAGCCTGGATGTTGGGCAGCACGCCGCCCTGCGCGATCGTCACCTTGCCCAGCAGCTTGTTGAGCTCCTCGTCGTTGCGGATGGCGAGCTGCAGGTGGCGGGGGATGATGCGCGTCTTCTTGTTGTCGCGGGCCGCGTTGCCCGCCAGCTCCAGGATCTCGGCCGTCAGGTACTCCAGCACGGCCGCCAGGTACACCGGCGCGCCGGCGCCCACGCGCTCCGCGTAGTTGCCCTTGCGCAGCAGCCGGTGCACGCGGCCCACGGGGAACTGCAGCCCGGCCCGCGACGAGCGCGACTTGGCCTTGGCCCGCGCCTTGCCGCCCTGCTTCCCGCGCCCGGACATCTTCTCGCGCTCGCTCGCTCAGTCGCTCCCCCGGCACTGGAACCGCAACACTTAGCACTGCCTCGCTCCGCGCTCGCTTTACTGCCTCAACCTTGCGCTGATAGGCTGAGAAGTAGGTCTTGTGCAGACAGCCAATGAGAAGCAGGATCCAATTCTGACCAATCAGACGCGAATACAGAGGAGTACTGACATCATTTCGTGGTCTGGCCAATGAACGTGTGCAGAGCCGGAGCCGCTTATTTGCATAGGCGCGCTATAAATGTGTCGCACGCAGCCGTGCTTCTCACTTCCCTCCGGGGTTGATTCCGCAGCCGTTCCGTGGGTGCAGGAGGAGACACTGCTGTCGCCATGCCCGAGCCGGCCAAGTCCGCCCCCGCACCCAAGAAGGGCTCCAAGAAGGCGGTGACCAAGACGCAGAAGAAGGGCGACAAGAAGCGCAAGAAGAGCCGCAAGGAGAGCTACTCCATCTACGTCTACAAGGTGCTGAAGCAGGTGCACCCCGACACGGGCATCTCGTCCAAGGCCATGGGCATCATGAACTCCTTCGTCAACGACATCTTCGAGCGCATCGCGGGCGAGGCCTCGCGCCTGGCGCACTACAACAAGCGCTCCACCATCACCTCGCGCGAGATCCAGACGGCCGTGCGCCTGCTGCTGCCCGGCGAGCTGGCCAAGCACGCCGTGTCCGAGGGCACCAAGGCTGTCACCAAGTACACCAGCTCCAAGTAAATACTCAGCTGAAATATTCCTTAACCCAAAGGCTCTTTTAAGAGCCACCCACTTATTCAATAAAAGAGCTGAACAGTCAAGTAAGAAACACTTTATTGTTTCTTAGTGTAGAATCTTTGTGTCCAAAGGTTTGGGTGTTTGTTGTTTTTTTTTTTGTTTTTTTTTGTTTTTTTTTTTTTTTTTTGTTCTGGTTTCTTTTTGGTTTTTTTAGGTGTTTTCACAAATTTAAACATCACCTTACTGTTGCAATTTTCCATGTTATGTCTGTTGTAAGATGAAGGGTAGGGATCTAACTGGGTTTTTCTAGGCAGCAGGGAGTCGAAATTATTCATGGGTACTCATCCCTGTACAGCATTGCCATTGTCGGATCGGCCACTTGATGGTGCTCAGCCTCTGCAGTTTTTGCCGGTCGCGGTTATTTTTGCCACAGCAGTGAGAGATGAGTGCAGCGCACTGTGCTCCAAAGGAATTTGTGCGGCGGCGGTAAGTGGCATTTACCTTCAACTCTTGCAAATAGCCCAGTGATCAATTAACTCAGAAGCACTTTCTAAACTCCTTTATCTTCACCATTTGTCTTTATAATCTTTCTGTTCATGTTTTTGTTTTTTTTTTTCTTTCTACAGTAACTTGCCTGGTTTCTTCCCACGTCTGCTTTGGGTTCTCCTTTCGAGGAAGAAAATACGGGAAGACTTGTGTTCTAACCTATCTGTCCTTTTCTGCATGAATCTGTCACTGATTGTTTAAAAGAACGAAATACTAAGAAACTCGACACTCTAGGCTTTGTCAGCTCCCAGGTCTCATCACACAGCCACTAATGAGGCTCAAAGTGCTTTCTCAATCACCCACTCTCACTTCTGGACAATTACATGCCACCGTGGATGCAGATCAAAGCCATTATCACTTCCCAACTGGATCTTAATAATCCTAAATTTCAACTATATATTGTGAACTTCTGAACAGAATTCATGCAGGCACCACAGAAGGACAAAATGAACTTTCTAGTACTGACTTGCATATCCTTTGGTAGGACAGGTAATGAGACAGGCACCAGGTCTCTCATAAATCTGTCACCTATTACCTAATAAATGTTAATTTCATTTTGAAGGGTTATGGGGACTTCTCAGACTGGATTTCAGATAGCCAGTGGGAAGAGGCATTCTCCAAACTCTTCTTTATCAGCTTGAAATGGGGTTTTGCAATCTCTGCATGTGCTTTAGTGCAAACTCTCAAACACAGGTTGCTTATTCTGAGTCCCTGTGTATGTCTAATACCTGACAAGATTAATAAACCATTGTATATCCCACTCTAGGCTTTTCCAAGCTTTCCCGGATCACCAGAAAAGCACAAAGAAGTGCTCCTGTTTTCACAGTTGAAGATGGCCACCAGAAGAATTTGTCAGTGGCCGTTCTGCACCTAATCAGCCATGTGAGAAACCCCAGTTCAAACCTCAGCTGCCATGGGACAGCGCTGCTGCCTGGTTCAAAGCAGGAGCTCAGGGATGCCTTTGGCTGCCCAGCTCAGAAGTGTTCCTTTTCCTTTTGCTGGGTTTGTGTCCTCCATGTAGCACCCTTCATTAGGAGCCATCACAGACATTCAGGGGATTTTTTAGTTGATTGTTTCAGTGTGTGAAATTGTTTCTAGGCGTAGGAAACTCTTCACTAAACAGAAAGCAAAATGTTCCTGATTTCTTCTTTCAATTTCATTAAGAATGACAAGGTAATATTAGGGGGCTATCATTTGAACATAGCATTTAACATCAGATCTGATTGTAACATAACTCTAATAATTCTAACAGTGCTGAGAACAAAGTCTCTGAGCTCCCTCCATGGAAAATTTAGTTAACTTGTTCTTGCCACTCAAGGTAAAAGTAGCTTTGCTAAGCTTTAAGCTCAGCAAAAATAACAAATCTTGAAAAAATTCCTGTCACAAGAGGATGAACACTCAAAGGCACTAATGCAAATAGTGTGAGTATAAAATCACATGGCAGCTTGTTCTTCCATAATTGACATTCTTTGCTGTCCTTTCCTGTTTCTTTCAGAGCAGTTCCCTTTGTCCTCCCAGGGACCGTACCCAGGTGAGGTCACCCAGCAGAGCCAGAGGGCCCTGCTCAAATGCATCCCCTGGTGGAGCAGGTGCCGCTGCTGCTGCCACCAAACCATGAAGGAACAAAGCAGAAGCCCCCTCAAACAATTCTCCTGCCCTGGGTTCCTCTTTGAAGAGGAGTTTCCAGTTCACTGAGTGAAAAGTTTCTTTATGCAGGGTGCAGAGCAGATGGAGCTGGGTGTCTCCAAAGAGGAGCCCCTACAGCAGATTGCAACCCAAATTGTATCGGTGCCACCCACCATCCAATCCCCAAATACAAGAATTTAATTCCTGGTGCTGCTCCCTGGATGTCTCCTTGATATTTTTGGTCACTGGGCTGAACTCCTTTGGAAGTTATCTCATTCCTGGGATTGGTCCCTTGGCCCATCTTCATTCTGCTCCTGTCTTGCCAGTCTCAGCTTGGTCAGTGTTTGTGACACCACTTTTATAAGAAGTTTACACTCATCAGCTCATGTGCCCCAGGGCTGCAGCTTGCTGATCTTCCAGTGCAAAGCAAAGTCATTACCACCAACAATTCTCAATATTGGAAGTGTTTGAATATGTAATCTATAAACAGTCCCTTCATGTTGTCTTTTAGTCTACCATCCATATTTACTATCAAAATGTCTCCTGATTCACAGCATCTGAAATATGGGAAATATTTACACTTTGTAACACAAACATTTTTGTCAAAATATATGTTTTTATACCAGCAATTTTTTATATCTCAGATGATCAGAGTGAAACTACAGCTTAGTAAGTAAGCTGCAAAAAAAGAGCACTGAAGAACAATACAAGCAGTTACAAAAATTTCCCCAATTTTATTCTTATTAGAATAATAAAATTATTATCACTCCTGGAAGAACATATATCTTCTCCAGATGACCATTCCTGCAGTAAAATTTATGGGTTTTAATCATTATGTTTCAAAAAGAAAACACTCTCTCTCTTAATTTCTGCAAATTGAAATAGAGCAGCTGGGCAAACAAATACCTGCATTCTCTAATGAACTGACTGAGCAGTGAATCAGAAATGAGAAATAGATGCCATATACATGGACCAAAACCTGAACAAATCACTGACAGTCTGTAGGAACTTTTTGCTACTTCCTGGGGTTTTGCGGGGTTTTTGGAGGGTTTTTGTTTTGGTGGGTTTTATTTTTTGTGTTTCTTTTGGTTTTTTTAATATTTGTTTCATTTTTATTAATGTAGTAAACCAATAGCTGCTCTCAAACCTGAATTTCTTTTTTTTTCTTTAACGGACACAGAATAGAATTACCTGATACCCAAGACAAACTATCCCAATGTTACTTTCCCAGAGGCTTTTCTTTCCATTCGAAACAGAAAATATTACATTTTAAAATAATTACACTTGCAGGAGAAAGTATTCACTGCAGCTAGGGAAAAATACTTGGTTTTGCATGCACCTTGCTGTAATGTTTTCTGGCAGTGATGAAAATCTGCCCAGGTCAGATGGTAAATGAAAATAAAAAAGAGACTCCAGGTTGCAAATACCTGGTCTAAGGGCTGTGCCATTCAGAGAACAGCACAGCCAAGACATGGCAGAAATCTCCCAGGAGGAGAGGCTGAAAGTAGGTGGGAATGCAGCTGGGAACTTCTCCCTTCCCAGCCCACACAGCTGTGAGGAAGGATGGAGCACTCAAGGAGCAGAGGCAGCTCTTTCCCCAAGGGCTGGGGTCACAGAACCAGGGGCCTGTGTAGGTGGAAAGGGGGTTTCCAGGTTAGATTTCTTTCATGCCTACAAAGAACCAAATTATCTGACTGCAGACCTACCAAAATGCTTTTTTCAAAAGCATTCCTTGTCAAAAATGATAGAAGGTATTAATCAAAAAAGTTCATCCTTTATTTTTAGCACTGAAAACCTCAGGAGGCAATTATGAGCATAATTCATTGTACAACTGGAAAACAAGTAGATTGAAAAGAGTTACAGAACAGATGGGAATTTTAATCCCACATAAAATCCACAACCTTTTTGTACTTGCACTCCTGCTTATATTGCACGTAGATATTTTTACTTGCAAAGGTCGTAGGAAAATGGAAGAAATAATTCCTGAAATAAGAAGAGTGCACAGAGTGCTACATCTGAAATCTGAACTTGTAACAGATGAAAGGATATTGACCTCCTTTTGTGCAGTATCAGAGCTGTGAAGAAATGCACACGTCTCAGGTATGCATCCTCTTTTCCTTTTGTAGCACAGAGCAGCCACCTCAACAAGAAACAATCTGGACACTCCACATGACCAAGTTTTGGGGTCCTTTTTCCCCTTCAGCTCTTGGGACACAGCCAGGTCAGTGCCTTCAGCCATTCCACTTAGGAAAGAAGACACAAATCACCACAGGAATGGCATAGGCCCAGTCTTTCAACATGGGGGCTTTGAAATCGCTGCTCCCAGCCCCATGGGAGAAGGGAAATGGTCACATTCCACAGACAGCTGGAGCTCCTGGGGCTGCAGCCTGAACTGACGCTTACATGTCCTGCAGAACCTCACAGGATGTGTGTGTTCTACTTCAGAGTTACCACAGAAGCTCACATTTCTCAGCAGGAAATTGTTAGGAAAATTAATCCACAAACACCAGAGGTTTAAGTCCAAAAAGGAGACAGAGGAGTCCTGTAACTTTTTTCGAATAAAGGGAGAGAGCATGGGGCATTCCCCTGGAATCTCACAAAATTTTGGAAGATGCAGGCCTCCTTTTTATCCTAATTTCCTGACTGCATTTCCCTTCTCTCTTTCCCCATTGGCTGAGGTACATGAGAGGTACAGACTTCCTAAAGCACCTGATACCAAAGATTTCCCTCTAATGTATAACCCTCCCTTTTAATTTTTAATTCTTATGGAATTCAAGGGTTTTTCTTCTCCATTATTTCTTTCATCTCTCAATGTCTAATTTTATTTATCAGCAAATATCTTTTTCTATTCATCAATCAGTGGAATCCTTCCCATTGTTTCTTTTCTCTCCCAGTGCTAGTTTTATCCACCAGCAGACCCACAGCTTGTTTGTAAAGACAAATCCTCTATTCATCCCAAAATGACATGGTACAAAGAACAGGGGGAAACAGCAGGAAACTGCAAAAGAACTGGGACTATTTTACAGCATTTACCTGAAACTGAATAATGTCTCCTTTTCTTCTTCACCCTACAGGTTTGTTTCTTGACAATGGTAAAGCAAAAAATCCTTTAACTGTGGGGGGCCTGGAGTGAAACTGAAGAGGAAATTCCTTGTTTTTGGATATTAAACTCCAGGGCCCCACTCTGCCCTTCCAGGAGATATCCCAGCCTTTCCTTTGCCTTCTCCTTCTGTTCCCAGGGGCCTCTTGCAGCACGAGGTGCTGGTGGCAGCCACAGAGCAGCATGAGAGGATGAGCTGATGATCCCAAAACACCCCATTCCCACTGTGAAGGGCTGCTCCATCCTGTGTCACCCTGCATTTCCCCGCTCCCAGAGGCGGATTAGTTCGTAAATCCCCGTCCCTGGCCCCAGTGCAGGGAGCAGGAAAATGCCTGCTTGTCACGGCCTGACCCACCAACCCAAAGGATTTTGTTGTCGCGGGAGAAACGAGGGTTCCCGGTGGGAACCATCCCCGCTGTCACTCCCTCCCCGCTGTGTTTATGCCGGAACGGGATCGCGCAGCTTCAGCCCAGCTCTCCTCCCCATGCCCCCAAATTCAACTCCTGGGATTGAATCACAAAGCCCACAACAAAGGAGAAAGCAAAGCAAGCACCAATGTAAATATGATTCCGTGTTTTACCGCACGGGCAGCCGGTCAGTCCGGGAGCCGCAGGGAATCCCCCATTCCCAGCTGCGCACGGATCCTTGCCTGGAGCAGGGCCGGGGCATGGACAGGGAGGGGATGCGGCACCAGCGGGGCGCGGGGGCTGCTGCTGCCCTGCCCGGAGATCTGTCCCGGCAGGGCTGATAATGCTCCCATCGCCACCTTCCGCTCCCATTCTGCTGCTCCAAAAACAACTTATCGTCAAAGTCCATCTGCGCCCATCCGAGGAGGCTGCCGGCGTTCACTGTTAGGAAATACATTTATTTTCAAAGCGGTTCTGCTCGTTTATTCTGCTTTTGGTAAACCACGTCTAGGAAGGATTTTCACAGGAGTGTCTGGCTGGACAATATACATTCCAGGTCCTGCAACCCTTCATAGTTTAGACCTCGTGTAGTCCTATCTTTAATTTATGCCTTGATTTCCCATGGATGTAACTCGAAACTACAACTACAAAGTAACCGAGCACATTCTCTAGCAGAAAAAAAAATGAGGGGAGATACTGCAATAATAGTTATTAATTACATACCTTCTCGACCACTACCACTGTACCCTTAATACCAGAGCATTCTTTTGAAAGGGAAAGAAATCCATAAAATTGTTCTGTTGGAAGTTTCTACAGTCTACAAACTAGAATTCTACTCTAGCGCTCACACAACATCGAGATGATGCACACGGGGTTTTTCTGAGCAGTCTTTCCCCTTGTTCCCTACAATTCAATATGCAGGGCAGTCTCATTATGTGGAACAAGGTGGCACAGAGGAGAGTGGCAAATTCCTTCCCCTGTGGAAGAGTGGATTCATCACCCACTCACTTTGAGGAAAGTGAAATTCAGCGAGCACACACACACACACCAGGTCACAGGTGTTCAGTCACTGCTCTTTTTTCCTATACTGGAGGGCAAAGACGTGACCATGTTACAAACTGCTCCCGTCGCTGCGGTGCCACCAGCTGCAGGACAGACAGAGGCTCCTGAGGCCCAGAAGCCGCTGCTGCTGCTGCAGCCGAGAGCCTGCAGGAGAGGCACAGGGAAAAACGAGCCAGGAGGAGCCGCACCAAAGCCAGGAGGAAATCGGAATCCGGCAGGGCAGCACCAGAGAATTTAACTTTAAAGCAACACTGTGACCTGCTGTAAGAGCAGCAGCTTTTCCAAGAACGACTCGCTTTCCCCCCAAAACGAGTGCTGGCTCGAAACTTCCCCTACCACAGGGAGAAGAGGGCGTGGATCCAGCCATCAGTGCCGGAAAAACGAAATTAAAAGCGATCGCGCTCTTTCCAGTGTAACGCAGTGAGCACTACATCACATCAGAGCTCCTTGGGAGCACCGGCAACTCCTCCCTGCCTGAAACCTTTCCCTGGTGTTCCACAATTCCGCCAAGGAAAGCCAGCGGGACTCACGCAGCAGCGTGCTAAGAGGCAGCAAAAGTGGATCAGTCGGGGCCCGAGGCGAGGAACGCCCCTCCTGTTGAGAAACATTTGTTCCACTCGCTGTCAGGACTGCCTAACACTATTCAGGGCTTTCTTTTTTTATTTTTTGGTTTTCTGTCTGCGGGTTGCTTTCCTTCCCACTCCCCTTTTTCTGAAACACGAAAGTGCAACAGAGGCCAGCTCTTATTTAGCACTCGCAAAGGAAACAATCCAGACTGCTAAGACTTTATTGTTGTCCTCTAATAGGTACCGAACAGAGCACTTAGAGCAAACGCGGAGCTGCGAAGTCAGGACATGGGATATTTACGCCATTATAAAACCCCCACTTGCCCCACTATTAACACACCGAAACAGTCAATACGGTTATAAATTAAGACATTGTAAAGAAGCAAAAACAACGAAAAATCACCTCAGTAATTAAAGGAGAGGTCCTTTGAGAAAAAAAGAAACCTGCCTTAAGACAGCCTCCGTACAGGAACAGGGAAACGGAAACGAAGACAAGCATAAAAAACATAAAGCCTTGAAGAAAAGGCAACTTACGCAATTCTGCCTTCTCTTACTGGAATACCAAAACTGTAGTGAATCAGCCCTTTAAGAGGACTGTGGGCGGCTCTAAAAAGAGCCTTTGTTTGGTGATGAGCCTCACCGAGCTTTACTTGGTTTTCGCCTTGTGGCTGTCGGTCTTCTTGGGCAGCAGCACAGCCTGGATGTTGGGCAGCACGCCGCCCTGCGCGATCGTCACCTTGCCCAGCAGCTTGTTGAGCTCCTCGTCGTTGCGGATGGCGAGCTGCAGGTGGCGGGGGATGATGCGCGTCTTCTTGTTGTCGCGGGCCGCGTTGCCCGCCAGCTCCAGGATCTCGGCCGTCAGGTACTCCAGCACGGCCGCCAGGTACACCGGCGCGCCGGCGCCCACGCGCTCCGCGTAGTTGCCCTTGCGCAGCAGCCGGTGCACGCGGCCCACGGGGAACTGCAGCCCGGCCCGCGACGAGCGCGACTTGGCCTTGGCCCGCGCCTTGCCGCCCTGCTTCCCGCGCCCGGACATCGCAGCGACTCCGCAGCAGCGGCAGCGACACAACCGGGAGAGCCGGAGCAACCCCGAGCCCGCCTCACCGCCTGCCTTATATACAACCCGGGCGGATCGGCAGCGCCTGCTGGGATTGGCTGCGAGAGAGGACTTGCTTCCGCAGCCAATGGCAAGGCGAATCCAGACCTGGCCAATGGCGGCTCCCGGCGCCGGGCTCCGAGCTGACAGACAGCCAATGGCGCGGCGGCGGTCTCGGCGGAGCTGCTATAAAGCCGGCTGCCGAGGCGGTGCCGCCGCTGAGCGCTGTCGCTGTCGGAGTTGCTCGCGTGAGGAGGTGCGATTACTGCTGCTGCTGCCAAAATGCCCGAGCCGGCCAAGTCCGCCCCCGCGCCCAAGAAGGGCTCCAAGAAGGCGGTGACCAAGACGCAGAAGAAGGGCGACAAGAAGCGCAAGAAGAGCCGCAAGGAGAGCTACTCCATCTACGTGTACAAGGTGCTGAAGCAGGTGCACCCCGACACGGGCATCTCGTCCAAGGCCATGGGCATCATGAACTCCTTCGTCAACGACATCTTCGAGCGCATCGCGGGCGAGGCCTCGCGCCTGGCGCACTACAACAAGCGCTCCACCATCACCTCGCGCGAGATCCAGACGGCCGTGCGCCTGCTGCTGCCCGGCGAGCTGGCCAAGCACGCCGTGTCCGAGGGCACCAAGGCTGTCACCAAGTACACCAGCTCCAAGTAGGCGGCTTCTGCCTTCTTTCGTCGGTATTTTCAACCCAAAGGCTCTTTTAAGAGCCACCCACTTTCTCAGTAAAAGAGCTTTGATTTCTTCTGCACTGTTTTTATAGCGTGTTCTCTACCTTCCTTCATCAGTGTTTTACCCCAAATATCAAAACCTAGTTTTTATAGTTTAGTAATACAAACAGAAATCCTATTTTACCCTATTTGCGTTTTTTGAGTTTTCATTTTTTTTTCCCTACTGAGCCCAGGTATTTACTGAAAAGCCTTCATTTTAGCTGGTATGTACATTTTTCTTCAATTGCCAGGTGGTTTAAGGGCAGCTTCCCTTTGCCGTCCATTTTCTGTGTGCTTCTACATAAACTCCTTTCTGAGATTTTGGAATCCTAAAGGTTAAAATTATTTCCTCCCCCGCCCCCACAGTTTCAGCTGTGGTCTGCCCCATAATATCCATGTCACAGAGAAGTGCCATATATTTGAGAGGTGTCTTCAAGAATTTATTTATAGGGAAGTACTATTTTCTCCTTCTACACTTCATTGGCCTTCCCGATCTGAAAAATAAAATTTGTTTAAGAGAAATGCTTTAAGTTATTAAGCACTTACTCATTAATTAGGTTTATTATTGTAAGATTCCAAATAATAGCTTATAAAGGCTTCAGAACTAAGTAGCATTCATTTACACCATTCATTTAAAGTGGTTTTTAGTCCCTGCTGCCCCCTTATGGGTGTTTCTGAATTTTCTGTCATTTTTTGTTTTACTACATGGGTTTAAGACCTCAGATTTAGATTTGTATGAAAAACTGCAGATACTGATGAAAAACGGGTGCCGGGGGACGATATTCAAGTGGGACTTGAAAAAACAAATCTTACTGGACGGAAAAGTTAAATAATGTGTACAAAATGAAGGGGAGCAAATTCTTCAAATGAAAGAATTGGTAGCTCTTGAAAGTCACAGTCTGCCCGACAGAGAAGGGAGGCAGCCACCATAGACCCAAAGGCTTTGTTTAGGAGTCACTACATGCATAATAAAAGGGCTGCAGCAGTGCTTTGAAACGAGCAGTTTCTAATTTTTAATATTTTTAAGATTTTTACGTTAAATTTTAATAGCCCCAGCTTCTCTTTTTTTTTTTTTTGAGTCTTATTTTACTGAGCTCCTGCATATTAAAAAAATTCCTTTATAAAACTCCATACCGTTCTAAAGTTCTTTTGCAATTCATACCCGAGTCTTTGCAGCGTAACGCGTGTTTTATGAACAGCGGCTAAGGGCAACAAAAACAGAGGGAGGAAATGTGAAAATACGTTAGTTTAAAGGGGGTGAGCAGAGTCTAAAGTAGTTTACATCCCTGCGACTGTGCCTGATAACACTTTAAGGGAGGAAGGGCAAATATATAAACGATTGTGACTGCAGTTGCCCCGGGCTAAAAGCCATGCTATTAGAAATCCTGGCTCCAGAAGAGGTTAAAATTTCCCGGGGCTCAGTGGAAGTTTTACTATTAGACTCTAAAGCAATAAGCAAACTTGAACAGCCTGATCTGTGTATCGTGAAGCAGCTGTTTGAAAAGCTCAAATCTCTTTGTATAAAGACACCCACCGAACAATGAAGGTTCTCTCCTCCCCCCCGCTCCCAAAAACATTTTCTGTGAAAATAGTGCAACAGCTCTTTTACTTGTACATGTAGTGGCTCTTAAAAGAGCCTTTGGGTCTGCGTGGGTTGCCTCATTGCCCGGCCAGGAAGGGCTGCTGCCGGCAGCTCAGGCTCGCTCTCCGCGGATGCGGCGGGCCAGCTGGATGTCCTTGGGCATGATGGTGACGCGCTTGGCGTGGATGGCGCACAGGTTGGTGTCCTCGAAGAGCCCCACCAGGTAGGCCTCGCTGGCCTCCTGCAGCGCCATGACGGCCGAGCTCTGGAAGCGCAGGTCGGTCTTGAAGTCCTGCGCGATCTCGCGCACCAGCCGCTGGAAGGGCAGCTTGCGGATCAGCAGCTCCGTGGACTTCTGGTAGCGCCGGATCTCGCGCAGCGCCACCGTGCCGGGCCGGTAGCGGTGCGGCTTCTTGACGCCGCCCGTGGCCGGCGCGCTCTTGCGGGCAGCCTTGGTGGCCAGCTGCTTGCGGGGCGCCTTGCCGCCCGTCGACTTCCGCGCCGTCTGCTTCGTGCGCGCCATAGCCCAAACGCTCACAGCGCTCCGCGCTCACTGCGCCCCCGGCTCACAGCCGCCGCTATTTATAACCCCGCTGCCCGCGCCCATTGGCCGCCCGCGCGGCAGCGGCCGGCTGCCATTGGGCGTTTGTCGCGAGCCCGGGAAAAGCCCCCGCCTTCGGGGCCGGGAAACGCGCCCTGGCCTCGCCCCGCCCCCGCCCCCTTCCAGCAACGGCTTGCGGGGCACAGCGGCGGCGGCGGCACCGCCGGAGAGCGGGCCAGGGCGGGCTCGCCGCCCGAGCCTCGGGCTCGCCCTCCTTTATCCAAATCCACTCCGCTCGCGTTCATTCCCGGCCTCGGGACCGCTGGCTAAAGCTATCGCCGGCAGCCGCCTCCTTCCCCGAGAGCTCGCGCTATCTTGCCGCTCATTATCCACCCTCGGTTCAGGGCCGCGGTAGCAAGGCCGAAGGCGCAGGCGGCCTCTGCCTTGCCCGGCTCCGCCGAGCTCTCCGGGCCGCTGCCCCGGCCCGCTGGAAGCGCCGCGTCCCTTGCGGGCAGCGCGCGCTCGGGCCGCGAGCGGCACCAATCAGCGCCGGGCGGGAGGGGCAGGAGGCGGCCGGGCCCGCCCGCGGGGAGGCTCCGCGCAGTCCTCACTCAGGTCGGACCGAACGCGGCAGCGGCGCGGCCCCGGCTCTGCCCGCGCGCTGCAGCCCCGTCCGCGCTGGGCGGCGGAGAGTGCGGGGCGCGGGGACACGGCGGGGAGAGAGAGGGGGGCGCACGAAAGCCGGGAAAGAGCCGCACTGGGGAACCTTAGGATAGGTGGTAGTGCCTATGTAGACTGTGCAGTTTGAGGGCGAAAAGGCAGAGCATCGTCCCACTTCTCTTTCCCCGGTCACCCGCGAAAACCCATTTTGGGGGTAGTGAAGAAGAGTGGGCAATTATATCGAATCCTTTTGCTCAGAATCAACTAAAAAACATGAGCACAAGGTCGTCTGGAACCACCTGTGTTTTAATGCGTCCAATTCCGGCACTAAAAGAACACGCCTGCGTTTTTTTTTCCCGTTACCGTGGCTAGACCATAACACTACCAGCATACAGAGGATTTGTTTTGGCCGTCTTGAGACCGACAACGGTAAATTCCATAGCCGCCACTCGGGAACTAAACATGCATGAGAAGCGGCCTCCTAAGACATACAGAATAGAGCCAGTTTAATACAGTATAAATCCAGCATACTTAAAAATACTATTTTTTATTATACAGTAAATGCCTTTTACCCCCCCCCCTTTACTAGAATAAGCATATGGGGCAGGAACTCGTGACAGCATCAGCTCTTTTACTGAGAAAGTGGGTGGCTCTTAAAAGAGCCTTTGGGTTTAAAATACTGAAGAAAGAAGGCAGAAGCCGCCTACTTGGAGCTGGTGTACTTGGTGACAGCCTTGGTGCCCTCGGACACGGCGTGCTTGGCCAGCTCGCCGGGCAGCAGCAGGCGCACGGCCGTCTGGATCTCGCGCGAGGTGATGGTGGAGCGCTTGTTGTAGTGCGCCAGGCGCGAGGCCTCGCCCGCGATGCGCTCGAAGATGTCGTTGACGAAGGAGTTCATGATGCCCATGGCCTTGGACGAGATGCCCGTGTCGGGGTGCACCTGCTTCAGCACCTTGTACACGTAGATGGAGTAGCTCTCCTTGCGGCTCTTCTTGCGCTTCTTGTCGCCCTTCTTCTGCGTCTTGGTCACCGCCTTCTTGGAGCCCTTCTTGGGCGCGGGGGCAGACTTGGCCGGCTCGGGCATTTTGGAAGCAGCAGCAGCCGCAGCTCCTCACACGAACAACTCACACAGCGACAGCGCTCAGCTGCGGCACCGCCTCGGCAGCCGGCTTTATAGCAGCTCCGCCGAGACCGCCGCCGCGCCATTGGCTCTCTGTCAGCTCGGAGCCCGGCGCCGGGAGCCGCCATTGGCCAGGTCTGGATTCGCCTTGCCATTGGCTGCGGAAGCAAGTCCTCTCTCGCAGCCAATCCCAGCAGGCGCTGCCGATCCGCCCGGGTTGTATATAAGGCAGGCGGTGAGGCGGGCTCGGAGTTGCTCCGGCTCTCCCGGTTGTGTCGCTGCCGCTGCTGCGGAGTCGCTGCGATGTCCGGGCGCGGGAAGCAGGGCGGCAAGGCGCGGGCCAAGGCCAAGTCGCGCTCGTCGCGGGCCGGGCTGCAGTTCCCCGTGGGCCGCGTGCACCGGCTGCTGCGCAAGGGCAACTACGCGGAGCGCGTGGGCGCCGGCGCGCCGGTGTACCTGGCGGCCGTGCTGGAGTACCTGACGGCCGAGATCCTGGAGCTGGCGGGCAACGCGGCCCGCGACAACAAGAAGACGCGCATCATCCCCCGCCACCTGCAGCTCGCCATCCGCAACGACGAGGAGCTCAACAAGCTGCTGGGCAAGGTGACGATCGCGCAGGGCGGCGTGCTGCCCAACATCCAGGCCGTGCTGCTGCCTAAGAAGACCGACAGCCACAAGGCGAAAGCCAAGTAAAGCTCGGTGAGGCTCATCACCAAACAAAGGCTCTTTTTAGAGCCGCCCACATTCCTCTTAAAGGGCTGATTCACTGCAGTTTTGGTATTCCAGTAAGAGAAGGCAGAAATGCGTAAGTTGCCTTTTCTTCAAGTCTTTATGTTATTTATGCTTGTCTTCGTTTCCGTTTCCCTGTTCCTGTACGGAGGCTGTCTTAAGGCAGTTTTCTTTTTTTCTCAAAGGACCTCTCCTTTAAAAATAAAAGGTGATTTTTCGTTGTTTCTACTTCTTTAGAACTTCCCAATTTATAATCGTTTTTACATTTTCAATGTGTTAATAGTGGGGCAAGTGGGGGTTTTATAATGGCGTAAATATCCCGTGTCCTGGCTTCGCAGCTCCGCGTTTGCTCTAAGTGCTCTGTTCGGTACCTATTAGAGGACAACAATAAAGTCTTAGCAGTCTGGATTGTTTCCTTTACGAGTACTAAATAGGAGCTGGTCTCTGTTGCACTTTGGTGTTTCAGATAAAGGGGAGTGGGAAGGAAAGCAAAACCCGCAGACAGAAAACCAAAAACTAAAAAGAAAGCCCTGAATAGTGTTAGGCAGTCCTGACAGCGAGTGGAACAAATGTTTCTCAACAGGAGGGGCGTTCCTCGCCTCGGGCCCTGACTGATCCACTTTTGCTGCCTCTTAGCACACTCCTGCGTGAGTCCCGCTGGCTTTCCTTGGCGGAATTGTGGAACACCAGGGAAAGGTTTCAGGCAGGGAGGAGTTGCCGGTGCTCCCAAGGAGCTCTGATGTGATGTAGTGCTCACTGGAAAGAGCACGATCGCTTTTAATTTCGTTTTTCCGGCACTGATGGCTGGATCCACGCCCTCTTCTCCCTGTGGTAGGGGGAGTTTCGAGCCAGCACTCGGTTTGGGGGGAAAGCGAGTCGTTCTTGGAAAAGCTGCTGCTCTTACAGCAGGTCACAGTGTTGCTTCAAAGTTAAATTCTCTGGTGCTGCCCTGCCGGATTCCGATTTCCTCCTGGCTTTGGTGCGGCTCCTCCTGGCTCGTTTTTCCCTGTGCCTCTCCTGCAGGCTCTCGGCTGCAGCAGCAGCGGCGGCTTCTGGGCCCCAGGAGCCTCTGTCTGTCCTGCACCTGGTGGCACCGCAGCGACGGGAGCAGTTTGTAACATGGTCACGTCTTTGCCCATCTCTGCCCTCCAGTACAGGAAAAAAGAGCAGTGACTGAACACCTGTGACCTGGTGTGCGTGTGTGTGCTCGCTGAATTTCACTTTCCTCAAAGTGAGCGGGTGATGAATCCACTCTTCCACAGGGGAAGGAATTTCCCACTCCCCTCTGTGCCACCTTGTTCCACATAATGAGACTGCCCTTCATATCGAATTGTAGGGAACAACGGGAAAGACTGCTCAGAAAAACCCCGTGTGCATCATCTCGATGTTGTGTGAACGCTAGAGTAGAATTCTAGTTAGTAGACTGTAGAAACTTCCAACAGAACAATTTTATGGATTTCTTTCCCTTTCAAAAGAATGCTCTGATATTAAGGGTACAGTGGTAGTGGTCAAGAAGGTATGTAATTAATAACTATTATTGCAGTATCACCTCTCATTTTTTTTCTGCTAAAGAACGTGCTCGGTTAATTTGTAGTTGTAGTTTCGAGTTACATCCATGGGAAATCAAGGCATAAATTAAAGATAGGGCTACACGAGGTCTAAACTATGAAGGGTTGCCGGACCTGGAATGTATATTGTCCAGCCAGACACTCTTGTGAAAATGCTTCCTAGACGTGGTTTACCAAAAGCGGGATAAGCGAGCAGAACCGCTTTGAAAATAAATGTATTTCCCAACAGTGAACGCCGGCAGCCACCTCGGATGGGCGCAGATGAACTTTGACGATAAGTTGTTTTTGGAGCAGCAGAATGGGAGCGGAAGGTGGCGATGGGAGCATTATCAGCCCTGCCGGGACAGATCTCCGGGCAGGGCAGCAGCAGCCCCCGCGCCCCGCTGGTGCCGCATCCCCTCCCTGTCCATGCCCCGGCCGTGCTCCAGGCAAGGATCCGTGCGCAGCTGGGAATGGGGGATTCCCTGCGGCTCCCGGACTGACCGGCTGCCCTGCGGTAAAACACGGAATCCTATTTGAATTGGTGCTTGCTTTGCTTCCTCCTTTGTTGTGCGCTTTGTGATTCAATCCCAGGAGTTGAATTTGGGGGCATGGGGAGGAGAGCTGGGCTGAAGCTGCGCGATCCCGTTCCGGCATAAACACAGCGGGGAGGGAGTGACAGCGGGGATGGTTCCCACCGGGAACCCTCGTTTCCCCCGCGGCAACAAAATCCTTTGGGTTGGTTGGTCAGGCCGTGACAAGCAGGCATTTTCCTGCTCCCTGCACTGGGGCCAGGGACGGGGATTTAAGAACTAATCCGCCTCTGGGAGCGGGGAAATGCAGGGTGACACAGGATGGAGCAGCCCTTCACAGTGGGAATGGGGTGTTTTGGGATCATCAGCTCATCCTCTCATGCTGCTCTGTGGCTGCCACCAGCACCTCGTGCTGAAAGGGGCCCCTGGGAACAGAAGGGAGAAGGCAAAGGAAAGGCTGGGATATCTCCTGGAAGGGCAGAGAGGGGCCCTGGAGTTTAACATCCAGAAACAAAGAATTTCCTCTTCAGTTTCACCCTAGCCTACCCCCAAGTTAAAGGACTTTTTGCTTTACAATTGTCAAGAAACAAACCTGTAGGGTGAAGAAGAAAAGCAGACATTGTTCAGTTTCAGGTAAATGCTGTAAAATAGTCCCAGTTCTTTTGCAGTTTCCTGGTGTTTCCCCCTGTTCTTTGTACCATTTCATTTTGGGAGGAATAGAGGATTTGTCTTTACAAACAAGCTGTGGGTCTGCTGGTAGATAAAACTAGCACTGGGAGAGAAAAGAAACAATGGGAAGGATTCCACTGATTGATGAATGGAAAAAGATATTTGCTTTTGCAAATAAACTTTAGGTTTGCTGATAAATAAAATGAGACATTGAGGGATGAAAGAAATAATGGAGAAGCAAAACCCTTAAATTCCATAAGAATTAAAAATTAAAAGGGAGGGTTATACATTAGAGGGAAATCTTTAGTATAAGGTGTATTAGGAAGTCTGTACCTCTCAAGTACCTCAGCCAATGGGGAAAGAGAGAAGGGAAATGCAGTCAGGAAATTAGGATAAAAAGGAGGCTGAGTCCTCCAAAAGTTTGAGAGATTCCAGGGGAATGCCCCAAGGCCTCTCCCTTTATTCGAAAAAAGTTACAGGACTCCTCTGTCTCCTTTTTGGACATAAACCTGTGTTGTTTGTGAATTAATTTTCCTAACAATTTCCTGCTGAGAAATGTGAGCTTCTGTGGTAACTCTGAAGTAGAACACACACATCCTGTGAGGTTCTGCAGGACCTCATTCCCAGGAGCTCCAGCTGCCTGTTGAATGTGACCATTTCCCTTCTCCCATGGGGCTGGGAGCAGCGATTTCAAAGCCCCCACATGCAGAGAGCAGAACAGACTCAGATAAATTTGGCTTCCTGGGGCAGCTCAGCTGAGCCCAGGCACCCAGGAGTGCCTGTGGGGCTGTCAGTGCAGCCTGGTGATGCTCAGAGCACAGGGGGAGGCAGCTCTGGGTAAAGATGGTTTTGGGTATGTTGAAAGATTGGGCCTATGTCATTCCTGTGGTGATTTGTGTCTTCTTTTCTAAGTGGAATGGCTGAAGGCACTGACCTGGCTGTGTCCCAAGAGCTGAAGGGGAAAAGGACCCCAAAACTTGGTCATGTGGAGTGTCCAGATTGTTTCTTGTTGAGGTGGCTGCTCTGTGCTACAAAAGGAAAAGAGGATGCATACCTGAGACGTGTGCATTTCATCACAGCTCTGATACTGCACAAAAGGAGGTCAATATCCTTTCATCTGTTACAAGTTCAGATTGCAGATGTAGCACTCTGTGCACTCTTCTTATTTCAGGAATTATTTCTTCCATTTTCCTACGACCTTTGCAAGTAAAAATATCTACTATAAAAATATAAGCAGGAGTGCAAGTACAAAAAGGTTGTGGATTTTATGTGGGATTAAAATTCCCATCTGTTCTGTAACTCTTTTCAATCTACTTGTTTTCCAGTTGTACAATGAATTATGCTCATAATTGCCTCCTGAGATTTTCAGTGCTAAAAATAAAGGATGAACTTTTTTGATTAATACCTTCTATCATTTTTGACAAGGAATGCTTTTGAAAAAAGCATTTTGATAGGTCTGCAGTCAGATAATTTGGTTCTTTGTAGGCATGAAAGAAATCTAACCTGGAAACCCCCTTTCCACCTACACAGGCCCCTGGTTCTGTGACCCCAGCCCTTGGGGAAAGAGCTGCCTCTGCTCCTTGAGTGCTCCATCCTTCCTCACAGCTGTGTGGGCTGGGAAGGGAGAAGTTCCCAGCTGCATTCCCACCTACTTTCAGCCTCTCCTCCTGGGAGATTTCTGCCATGTCTTGGCTGTGCTGTTCTCTGAAGGGCACAGCCCTTACACCAGGTATTTGCAACCTGGAGTCTCATTTTTTTTTCATTTACCATCTGACCTGGGCAGATTTTCATCACTGCCAGAAAACATTACAGCAAGGTGCATGCAAAACCAAGTATTTTTCCCTAGCTGCAGTGAATACTTTCTACTGCAAGTGTAATTATTTTAAAATGTAACATTTTCTGTTTAGAATGGAAGGAAAAGCCTCTGGGAAAGTAACATTGTGATAATTTGTCTTGGGTGTCAGGTAATTACATTCTGTAGCCATTAAAGAAAAAAAAGAAATTCAGGTTTGAGAGCAGCTATTGGTTTACTTCATTAATAAAAATGAAACAAATATTAAAAAACCCCAAAGAAACACAAAAAACCCATACCAATACAAAAAATCCTCGAAAACCACCCCAAAACCCCAGGAAGTAGCAAAAAGTTCCTACAGACTGTCAGTGATTTGTTCAGGTTTTGGTCCATGTATATGGCATCTATTTCTCATTTCTGATTCACTGCTCAGTCAGTTCACTAGAGAATGCAGGTATTTGTTTGCCAGGCTGCTCTATTTCAATTTGCAGAAATTAAGAGAGAGAGTGTTTTCTTTTTGAAACATAATGATGAAAAACCATAAATTTTACTGCAGGAATGGTCATCTGGAGAAGATATATGTTCTTCCAGGAGTGATAATAATTTTATTATTCTAATAAGAATAAAATTGGGGAAATTTTTGTAACTGCTTGTATTGTTCTTCAGTGTTCTTTTTTTGCAGCTTACTTACTAAGCTGTAGTTTCACTCTGATCATCTGAGATATAAAAAATTGCTGGTATAAAAACATATTTTGACAAAAATGTTTGTGTAACCAAGTGTAAGTATTCCCCCATATTTCAGATGGTTGAATCAGGACACATTTTGATGGTAAACATGGAGGGTAGATTAAAAGACAACATGAAAGGCCTGTTTATAGATGACACATTCAAACACTTCCAATATTGAGAATTGTTGGGGGTAATGACTTTGCTTTGCACTGGAAGGTCAGCAAGCTGCAGCCCTAGGGCACATGAGTTGATGAGTGTAAACTTTTTATAAAAGTGGTGTCACAAACACTGACCAAGCTGAGACTGGCAAGACAGGAGCAGAATGAAGATGGGCCAAGGGACCAATCCCAGGAATGAGATAACTTCCAAAGGAGTTCAGCCCAGTGACCAAAAATATCAAGGAGACATCCAGGGACTAGCACCAGGAATTAAATTCTTGTATTTGGGGATTGGATGGTGGGTGGCACCGATACAATTTGGGTTGCAATCTGCTGTAGGGGCTCCTCTTTGGAGACACCCAGCTCCATCTGCTCTGCACACTGCATAAAGAAACTTTTCACTCAGTGAACTGGAAACTCCTCTTCAAAGAGGAACCCAGGGCAGGAGAATTGTTTGAGGGGGCTTCTGCTTTATTCCTTCATGGTTTGGTGGCAGCAGCAGCGGCACCTGCCCCACCAGGGGATGCATTTGAGCAGGGCCCTCTGGCTCTGCTGGGTGACCTCACCTGGGTACGGTCCCTGGGAGGACAAAGGGAACTGCTCTGAAAGAAACAGGAAAGGACAGCAAAGAATGTGAATTATGGAAGAACAAGCTGCCATGTGATTTTATACTCACACTATTTGCATTAGTGCCTTTGAGTGTTCATCCTCTTGTGACAGGAATTTTTTCAAGATTTGTTATTTTTGCTAAGCTTAAAGCTTAGCAAAGCTACTTTTACCTTGGGTGGCAAGAACAAGTTAAATAAATTTTCCATGGAGGGAGCTCAGAGACTTTGTTCTCAACACTGTTAGAATAATTGGAGTTATGTTACAATCAGATCTGATGTTAAATGCTATGTTCACATCATAGGCCCCTAATATTTCCTTGTCATTCTTAATGAAATTGAAAGAAGAAATCAGGAACATTTACTTTCTGTTTAGCAAGGATTTTACTAGACCTAGAAATAATTTCACACACTGAAACAATCTACTAAAAATCCCCTGAATGTCTGTGATGGCTCCTAATGAAGGGTGCTACATGGAGGACACAAACCCAGCAAAAGGAAAAGGAACACTTCTGAGCTGGGCAGCCAAAGGCATCCCTGAGCTCCTGCTTTGAACCAGGCAGCAGCGCTGTCCCATGGCAGCTGAGGTTTGAACTGGGGTTTCTCACATGGCTGATTAGGTGCAGAATGGCCACTGACCAATTCTTCTGGTGGCCATCTTCAACTGTGAAAACAGGAGCACTTCTTTGTGCTTTTCTGGTGATCCAGGAAAGCTTGGAAAAGCCTAGAGTGGGATATACAATGGTTTATTAATCTTTTCAGGTATTAGACATACACAGGGACTCAGAATAAGCAACCTGTGTTTGAGAGTTTGCACTAAAGCACATGGAGAGATTGCAAAACCCCATTTCAAGCTGATAAAGAAGAGTTTGGAGAATGCCTCTTCCCACTGGCTATCTGAAATCCAGTCTGAGAAGTCCCCATAACCCTTCAAAATGAAATTAACATTTATTAGGTAATAGGTGACAGATTTATGAGAGACCTGGTGCCTGTCTCATTACCTGTCCTACCAAAGGATATGCAAGTCAGTACTAGAAAGTTCATTTTGTCCTTCTGTGGTCCCTGCATGAATTCTGTTCAGAAGTTCACAATATATAGTTGAAATTTAGGATTATTTAGATCCAGTTGGGAAGTGATAATGGCTTTGATCTGCATCCACGGTGGCATGTAATTGTCCAGAAATGGGAAGGGGTGACTGAGAAAGCACTTTGAGCCTCATTAGTGGCTGTGTGATGAGACCTGGGAGCTGACAAAGCCTAGAGTGTCGAGTTTCTTAGTATTTCGTTCTTTTAAACAATCAGTGACAGATTCATGCAGGAAAGGACAGATAGGTTAGAACACAAGTCTTCCCGTGTTTTCTTCCTCGAAAGGAGAACCCAAAGCAGACGTGGGAAGAAACCAGGCAAGTTACTGTAGAAAGAAAAAAAACCCCATGAACAGAAAGATTATAAAGAGAAATGGTGAAGATAAAGGAGTTTAGAAAGTGCTTCTGAGTTAATTGATCACTGGGCTATATGGCTATTTGCAAGAGTTGAAGGTAAATGCCACTTACCGCCGCCGCACAAATTCCTTTGGAGCACAGTGCGCTGCACTCATCTCTCACTGCTGTGACAGAAATAACCGCGACCGGCAAAAACTGCAGAGGCTGAGCACCATCAAGTGGCCGATCCGACAATGGCAATGCTGTACAGGGATGAGTATCCATGAATAATTTCAATTTCCTGCTGCCTAGAAAAACCCAGTGAGATCCCTACCCTTCAGTTTACAACAGACATAACATGGAAGCTTGCAACGGAAAGGTGATGTTTAAATTTGTGAAAACAACACCTAAAAAAAACCAAAACAAACCAGAACAAAAAAAAACAACAACAACAAAAAAACCCAACAAAAAGCAACACCCCCAGCGATTTAAAACCATCTTTACAGACATTTCCTAGTTACTGAAATTCATTAACAACAAACGGGAGAGCATATTATCAGAGGAGCCCTTTAGTATGCAAAACCCAAAAACTGTAAAAAAAAACCAAACTAAAAAATAAAAAAATCCCAAACCTTTAAACACAGATTCCACACAAAGAAACAAAGTGCTTCTTACTTGACTGTTCAGCTCTTTTACTGAGAAGGTGGGTGGCTCTTAAAAGAGCCTTTGGGTTGAAAATACCGACGAAAGAAGGCAGAAGCCGCCTACTTGGAGCTGGTGTACTTGGTGACAGCCTTGGTGCCCTCGGACACGGCGTGCTTGGCCAGCTCGCCGGGCAGCAGCAGGCGCACGGCCGTCTGGATCTCGCGCGAGGTGATGGTGGAGCGCTTGTTGTAGTGCGCCAGGCGCGAGGCCTCGCCCGCGATGCGCTCGAAGATGTCGTTGACGAAGGAGTTCATGATGCCCATGGCCTTGGACGAGATGCCCGTGTCGGGGTGCACCTGCTTCAGCACCTTGTACACGTAGATGGAGTAGCTCTCCTTGCGGCTCTTCTTGCGCTTCTTGTCGCCCTTCTTCTGCGTCTTGGTCACCGCCTTCTTGGAGCCCTTCTTGGGCGCGGGGGCAGACTTGGCCGGCTCGGGCATTTTGGAAGCAGCAGCAGCCGCAGCTCCTCACACGAACAACTCACACAGCGACAGCGCTCAGCTGCGGCACCGCCTCGGCAGCCGGCTTTATAGCAGCTCCGCCGAGACCGCCGCCGCGCCATTGGCTCTCTGTCAGCTCGGAGCCCGGCGCCGGGAGCCGCCATTGGCCAGGTCTGGATTCGCCTTGCCATTGGCTGCGGAAGCAAGTCCTCTCTCGCAGCCAATCCCAGCAGGCGCTGCCGATCCGCCCGGGTTGTATATAAGGCAGGCGGTGAGGCGGGCTCGGAGTTGCTCCGGCTCTCCCGGTTGTGTCGCTGCCGCTGCTGCGGAGTCGCTGCGATGTCCGGGCGCGGGAAGCAGGGCGGCAAGGCGCGGGCCAAGGCCAAGTCGCGCTCGTCGCGGGCCGGGCTGCAGTTCCCCGTGGGCCGCGTGCACCGGCTGCTGCGCAAGGGCAACTACGCGGAGCGCGTGGGCGCCGGCGCGCCGGTGTACCTGGCGGCCGTGCTGGAGTACCTGACGGCCGAGATCCTGGAGCTGGCGGGCAACGCGGCCCGCGACAACAAGAAGACGCGCATCATCCCCCGCCACCTGCAGCTCGCCATCCGCAACGACGAGGAGCTCAACAAGCTGCTGGGCAAGGTGACGATCGCGCAGGGCGGCGTGCTGCCCAACATCCAGGCCGTGCTGCTGCCCAAGAAGACTGATAGTCACAAGGCGAAAGCCAAGTGAGCGCTGATCAAAGACTGCCACGTTTTACCAAGAGAAACCCAAAGGCTCTTTTAAGAGCCACCCACTTTTTCATAAAAGGGCTATATTGCTTTTAAGCTTTGAAAAACTGACCAAGTGTATCTGAGTTTATTAGCGCCCCTTCCTTCATGAGCCCTCTGTTGTATACGGGTTTAAACAGAAACTCCACCCCCACTTGGCATTGAAATTGCTCTCTAAATGCCAGCAAAATCCCGGGAGTATCAGCAAGGCTTTTTAAAGCTGCTACATCAACACAGTTTCAGCCCTTCTTGGGTTTTAAAAATCATGAATTTGCATAACTATCACAAGGGCTTTCTCTAAAGCTACTAAGTTACTCTATAAAAATTTTTACAATAACACACATAATTTTGTAATTTCAGCTCTTTTTAAGAAAATATGGGTGGCTCTTAAAAGAGCCGTTGGGTTTAAATGTGGAACAAGACTTCGTCAGTGAAGGGCTTACTTCTTCTTCGGTGCTGCCTTCTTAGCCTTGGCCACTTTTGCCTTTGCAGCTTTTGGCTTGGCTGCTTTGGGCTTCACCGCCTTTGCCTTAGCTGGGCTCTTGGCTGCTGCCGCCGCTTTTTTAGGCTTGGCAGCCTTTGTCGCCTTCTTGGGGCTCTTAGCTACTTTTTTTGCTGCCGGCTTCTTGGCCTTTTTGGGGCTCTTAGCTGTCACCACTTTCTTGGGCTTCTTGGCGGCGCTGGCGGGCTTCTTAGCCGCCGGCTTCTTGGGCTTGGCTGCCGAAGTTTTCTTTTTCGGAGCTTTTTCCTTCACTTCCCCAGGTTTCTTGTTGAGGCGGAAGGAGCCGGAGGCGCCGGTGCCCTTGGTCTGCACCAGGACACCCTTGCTGACGAGGCTCTTGAGCCCCAGCTTGATGCGGCTGTTGTTCTTCTCCACATCGTAGCCGCCGGCGGCCAGCGCCTTCTTGAGCGCGGCGAGCGAGAGCCCCTTGCGCTCCTTGGAGGCGGACACGGCCTTGGTGATCAGCTCGGTGACGCTGGGCCCCGCGGGCTTGCGGGCTTTGGAGCCGCTCGCCGCCTTCTTCGGCTTCTTGGCGGCGGCCTTGGCGGCGGGGGCCTTGGCCGGGGCGGCGGGCGCTGTCTCTGCGGCGGGGGCGGGCGCGCTCTCGGCCATGGCGGCGCTGCGGACGCGGCGGTTCCAGCGGCGCCTCCTTTTATAGCGGCGCGGCGGGCGCTGATTGGTGGATTGCCGAGCCGGCCCCGCTCCCGCCCCGCCCCCAGGCGCTCCCGCCGCCCGCGCTGTGTTTCTCGCTTCCCAAAAAAATGCTTTTTCCTAAAAAAAACCGGACCGCGGCACCCCGTTTCTAGGCGTTCTTGCTGAGGAGAGAGAGCATTTTTGTCTTGCGAAGTTTCTTTCAACCGGGACTTGAGGCGACTTTTAGGCAGCTCAGTAATCCCCGAGTTTGGGGATTGCACTCAGGGCTGGAGCATAAGATTTTTATTTCTCCTTTTGAATTAAAACTTTGTTTCTGGCACCACTGCCTCAGTGACCTCGGATACTTGTTTCTGAGAGGGTTGTTCATCGAGGTGCTGCAAAAAGGGAGTAATGTCGGTCCTTTATCTTAGCGTAAATTAGCTTTGAAACGATGCAAGTAACACAAGGTGGTCACGGCTCTGTATCTGGGTTATGAGTTGTTTTCCATAACACGACTGCATCTCTTCAAAATAATGAAACCTTTGGACACAGTGCCCTATTTAGCTCTAGTAGGACTTGGTAAAAAGTATAAGAAAGACAATTTTCACCAGAAGCATTAACCTGAAAAGCAGCTCTCTTAAATAATAATCTATCTTTAAAATCCTAGAATACTTATACATACATGTATATACATACATATAGTAGCTTCTCTGTCCCCTGGGTTTTCTGCACCTTTGCATTATTATTTTAATGAACTATAGTCCCATTTTTTTATCCAAAATGCTCATTTTCATGATGCACAGTAGGTAAACCTATTCATTTGTAGTTTTTATTTTAAGTGGTGTTTATTTTTCTGCTTACTTTTACATTATAATTCAGGAATTTTGTCAGCCACAATCACTAGTTTTACAAAAAGAAAAACAAAATTAAATCAAAATACAACATACATGTTTTCATAATGAAAAACAGACGTAAAGTTGCAGGCATTTCTGTAACAAAATAATGTAATTCAAGAGGCTTAAGCAAACAATTTTCTTCTCACAACTGCTGAGAGAAGCAATATTGTGGCTTTTTCCAATGTATGACTATTGTGATGTGGGATAAATTGAATATACATAAAAATGATTTTTTTTCTTGAGATTAGTTGGATAGCAACTGGAAAACCATGTTTGAACATTTGTAATGCACTATGGGAACAAACTGGAAATCCAGGTGGTTGATTCAAATGATTGTAAATGCAGTTATTTGGCTTCTTTTACTTTATCTTTTGATAATAAAATATCACACCGTGTCTTCTAAAGTTCTGATGATGGTGGGGTCAGTTTTATGAATTTGTCAGTGGTGCTTGGTTGTCATGGCTGGGGTGCACTTAAGGACTGTCAGGAGATGTGGCAACATTTCAGAGAGGCTTTTTTCTAGGGCCAACAGCCAGCAGAAAAACATCGTGTGAGAGAGGATAAAAACAAGATTATGTGCGTTTGGTTTTGTCCTGATGTATTTTTCATGGTAGTTTCACCTGCTGAACCCACTGTGAATTTTGGCTTTGAACTACATTGGCACGGAAGTGAATCTCTTGGGAAGGATCCACACCACTGGGGGGAAGTTTCTGGGTGATAATTCTGTAGCATACAAATTTCCTTCAAATTCTGTGTATTAATCCATTCTAATAACTCAGAGTGACTAGCTCCTTTAAATTATTTTGATCCTTTGCAAATCCATTTTCCTGGGTGTAGGCTAGGCCTCTATCCTACTTCCAAACACCTGATGTAGCAGCACGTTCCTGGAACGTTCTATGTGCTCTCCTGAATGTTACTTCTTCTGGCCCTACAAAATTTTGACCACCTATGTGGACTTTTAAAATTTTGTTTTTCACAATAATAGACAGTTTTAGGCTAAGCAAAGAAGGAAATGGAAAGAGATCTTGCAAAGGTTTTCAGCTGAAGGAGGGAAGGAGAAATAAGTTTAATTCCTTTAATTAATGGGTGTACTTACTTTAAAAAAAATAATTGCTTCAAATATTATGATGTACTCAGTAAAAACAAAATGACATCTGTCTTCTGTTTTCCCCTTAAAATAAACTGTTAAGCTAACAGACCATTTATTAAATGCCAGTTGGCCTTGGGCTGGTTGGTTGAAAGATCAGGAGCACAGGCAGTGATTTCCTTGATCCTTCTGGTTACAGAACACTTTTTAAATACAGTGGACAAAGATATTTGGAAGTGGTGGACCAGGAGGAAGCTTCCTCCTCCTTTTGAACACAAAACAAGTAGGACTGGCACCTTCTACACCAGGTGTGAGGCCCTGGAGGTAGAGGGTCGGACAAATGATGAGGTGAGCCCTTCTGGGGCAGAGGGGCCCCTAAAACAGCACCATCTGTACCCCACATCAAGGCCTCCTCCTGTTCTGAGGAAAGGAAAGGTAATTTTAATTAGACACTTCCTTCTGCAGGGAGTCAGGGCCTGATGTGTTGGCCAGGCTGGCACTCACACCTCAGGCACAAAGGGTTACAGTGACTGGGGAACATCAGGCTGTCACTACTGGGGTTCTGCAGGGCTCCATCCTCATCCAGTTCTCTTCAACATCTTCCTTAGCAGCTTGGGTGCAGGGCTCAAGGAATTCTAGGTTTGGCATTGACACTAAACTGGGAGGAGCTGTCAGCTCCCTCCAGTGCAGAGAGGCCCTGCAGAGAGACCTTGACAAATCAGAGAAGGGCAATCACGAGCAATATGGAGTTTAACAGGGGCAAGTACTGGAACCTGCACCTGAGACAGGGAAATCCTGGTTGTGTGTACAGACTGGGGAACAAGGCACTGGAAAGCAGTGCCAAGGAAATGGACCTGAGGCTCCTGGTTGATGGCAAGCTGAACATGAACCAGCAGTGCCCTGGCAGCCAGGAGGGCCAACTCTGTCCTGGGGGGCATCAGGGACAGCATCACCAGCTGGGCAAGGGAGGGGATTGTCCCCTCTGCTGTGCACTGGGGCAGACTCACCTCTAGTGCTGTGTGCAGTCTGGGTACCACAATAAAAAAGACATGAAGTGATTAGAGAGCATCTGCAGAAGGGCCACAGGGATGGTGAAGGGTCTGGAGGGGAATCATATGAGGAGCAGCTGAGGTCACTTGGCCTGTTCAGCCTGTGGGGGAGGCTGAGGGGAGACCTCACTGCAGTCTGCAACTTCCACATGAGGGGAAGAGGAGGGGCAAGCACTGATTTTTTCTCTCCTGTGACCAGTGACAGGACTCAAGGAAATGGCATGGAGCTGAGTCAGGGGAGGTTTAGGTTGGATGTCAGGAAAAAGTTTTTTACCCAGAGGGTGTTTGGGCACTGGAACAGGCTCCCCAGGGAAGTGGCCACAGCACCAGCCTGACAGAGCTCAGGAAGCTTTTGGACAACACTCTCAGGCACAAGGTATGACTCCTGGGGTGTCCTGCACATGGCCAGCAGTTGGGCTCGATGGTGCTGATGGATCCCATCCAACTCAGTTTGTTTTGTGATCCCATGATTCTATGATTTTTTTTCCAAAGTTCAATCAGAAATTCAAGAACTCCCTTTTCTCCTATTCTGGTATGGATAAGTGCTTTCAGGAAGGTCCTTCCTATGAGCCCATGTGATTTGGTGCACTACAGAATCATAGCATGATTTGTGTTGGAAGGGTCCTTCCAAGATTTTCTAGACCAACATCGTTGTCATAGGCAAGGACATCTCTCACTAGACCACGTTGCTCAAAGATTTATCCTACATGGCTTGGAAATCTTCCAATGCAGGCATCAACAACTTCTCTTGTCCCACCACCTTCATAATGAAAAATTTCTTCCTTGGAACCTGCTTAAATCGAACTCCTTTCACTTTTAAATCCTTGCCCCTTGCCCTGCCACTACAGGCCCTGGTGAAAAGTCTTACTCTGTCTTTCTTATAAATGCTCTTCATATGTCAAAAGGCCACATTGAGGTCTGTGGGGTTCGCATTCTCTGAGCCTGAGAGAAGCAGAGAAAAGAACAATTGAAACAATTCTTACCTCATTTGCTGCACCTGTGTTGTACCAAAGTAGAATGCAATATGGAGATTGTTTACCCAAAGTGATGGGGTTTTGTTTCCTTGGCCTGTCAGGGCCAAACATGTGTGCAGACTGTTGGTCAGCAGTCAGTCACAAGATTCTGGGCAGTGGAGGGCAGTTGAGTGCTTGTGCAGGTTCAGTTTAGATGTAATGTAATATAGTGTAATATAATATAGAATAATATAGTATAATAAATGAATGAATTAGCCTTCTGATGTCAATGGAGTCAGATGCATCATTTCTCCTCATTGTCAGGGTTGCCCTGTTTTCTGAAAGATCTGCCCAGAGCCTTGTCTTCTCCGGGCCTAAAAACCACTGCTCTCCCAGCCTTTCTTCATGGGAGAGGTGTTTTAGCTCCCTAATCATTATCATCGTCCTCCTGTGGAACTCCTCCAAGTCCTTCTTGTTCTGGGGACCCCGGAGGCAGATGCAGTGCTCCAGGTGAGGTCTCATTAGGGTGGAGTGAATGAAGAGAGTCACCTCCCTCAACCTCCTAGTTGTGCTTTCTTTTTTATGCAGCCCAGGGTACCACTGGCTTTCTGAGCAGCAAATGCACATTGCCACCTCATGTCCAAATTTTCACCCAGCCATATCTCTGAGTCTTTCTGCGCAGGGTGCTTGCGATCAGTTCACCCTGCAGTCTGTACTGATGTTTGGAATGGCCCTGGCCTGGGTGCAGGGCCATGCATTTGACATTGTTGAGCTTCATGAGGTTCATGTGGGTGCGCTCCTCGAGCCTGCCAAGGTCCCTGTGCATGGTGTCCCTTCCCTCCAGTGAATCAGTGGCCCCACTGAGCAGGGTGGCACCCACAAACTTGCTGAGGGTGCACTCCATCCCACTCTGTTGTTGATGAAAATATTACACAGTATCTGAATTGCAACTGTATCTGCTAATTCCCTGAGGACCCTGGGATGAATCCCCTTA